AGGTAGTGTTATAAATGAACAAAATATAAAATAGTGCAAAGTTGCATTTATAAAAAAAATTAATTGGAAATATCCACAATAAAGTTGGGTCGTCAAAAATGTACCATTTTTTGAACATGAGTACCAAACGAAAAAAAAGTACCAATTTTGATACTAAAGTACCATAAGTGGCAACCGTGAATATAGTCCTTATTTAAACTTTTCTAAACCGCAGAAATTTAAATTCATCATAAAAAAACTCCATTTGAGAGGAGAGTGGAAAAGAAAGAGTTGGGTGTATTTTAATTTTTAATATATATAACAAAGCATATTTTGTATGTTTATTGAGAAATTTTATATAAAGAAATATATAATTATATGAATATATAAATTTATTGTTCACTACGTTATAGTAAGGCTTTAATAAAAAAAAAATAAAATCAGTTTAACTAAACTATTATACTAGCTAAATATTTATTTTAGATTTTGTTGTTAAAATATAAAGTTATGACTCCTGAGGAATTATTATGTTTAATGAATAAGTTTAATTTTAATTCAATTCACAAATAAAGGCACATTCATTTCAGAAATAATAAATGATTGATTTATCATATTATTTTAAAGCTATTAAAACAGTAATAAAAATATTATATATTTTTATTAAATATTTGGAGTTTTTTACTTCTACAAAGACAGTAGTACTTTATTTACATTCGTTTAGAATTAGAATTATAAAATTTTTGTAATAGTTTTTGACTTCTCATTTAAAAAATATATTTATTTTATATATATATGAATTTTAATTAATTAAGATATAACTAATATTAAATGGTTTTAATTTCAGATATCGTTTAAAATATATATTTGTTTCAAACAATTTAATAAACACAAACTAGCAAAAAACAAAAAAAAAACGGATACTTCCATATAAACTATATAAATATAGTCTAAACAAATTATATATTAAAACTACTACTATGTACAGAAAATTAGACATATAATATGTTACATTTAAAGAAATAAAACTGTACCAATAAAAAATTTAAAAAAATGCCTGCAATAAAATTGTTTTCAATAGTTTATATTTTTTAATAAATAATACAATTGTGACTTACCACTTAAAGTAACTGGGAGCAGTAACTTGGAAACGTAGTCAAATAGTTTAACCATATCTAACAAACTATATAATCATTTTAGATTATATATACAAAGGCAAAAGAAACAAGGCGAAATACGTCGATTATATCTTCTCAGCCTTATCTGCAAAATAAATAACAAAAAAATATATATAAATATAAAAAAGTTATAATAATGAAGTAATTAATAATGAAGTAATCTAATGTTTTTATTAAGTATATGGCATAAGATGTCATGTAGTACAGAGTAATAATCGCACTTTTGTAAGTTAGGATTGGGTCTTTGTGGTGGCCAGATAGACATATCCGATTTTATCTTAGCGGCATAAATTTTTGCTACTGATATATTCAATCTATTTAAATCACATCACACTTTTCTGAATTCGAGTGTTCAATGCAAATGTCCTTATAATATTGCAGATCATTTCGATATAGCTTTATTTTCAATAACGATAAAGTTAAAATAACAATAACTTGATCATCTCTACTCTTTGTCTAACTCACAAAAAAAATTAATTTTTAAAATCCTAGAAATTTGAAAGTTTTTAGCTTAAATAAAAAAAAATTTTAAAACTAATTTTTGTATTTATTTTTTTGCTGGTGATACTTATTAAAAACCCCAATTAACTTCCCATTCCTAATAATCCTCTTCCCTCTCACACTACCATTACTCATTCGCATCTTAAGTCATGCAATTTATTTCATACTATCTGATTTACAAATACTTTCAGTTTACAACAACAACAAAACTAATAAAAATATATTTCACAATCTATTGTACCTACTGAGAACAGTTCATACATATACAGGGTACATACTTCCAACGACCATATTATAGCATTTCTTCAAATCGTGAATAATTCTTCACATCGTGAATAATTCTTCACATCGTAAATAATTACAATGAAGATAACATTAGTGAAGACGAGTACGGTGGTTAACATCAGTAGCCATCGTAGGCTAACATCACTGATGTCGAATATAAACGAGAGCAAATACAGTAAAAATGAATAAATAAGTGCTAACTGTCTCCATACCAATACATTATTCGAGAGCAAATCTATATAGCGACAAAGTCTCACTGACATCTATGCGAAGAAAACTAACTGTTCTAGCTCAATTCAGAATAGGATATAACTACGATTCTATCACCACCTCAATAGAACGGAACTATAAATTGATAAATCAACAGTTTAGCGACGTCTTGAATAGTAAAACTTCAATTGGGGTATACACTGGAAATTTGTGTACAGGATCGTGACAAGAAACTATTTAACATATGGCTACATCCTACCATCAATGAGGCAAGGACAGTTTTCGTTGCAAGAGTAAAAGACAATTTACAGATATCCTAAGTGATTTTAAGCTGAGACCAATTGAGAATTTAATTATTGGACAAATGTGAACGCAAAGAGAACTAATGGGTTTATGTCCACGACTAACGCCACTCGCCATTCCCAATATGGTCTATACCCGCACAAAATCATTATTATTTATTTATTTCAGTTAAATAATTGTATTACATATTTAAAAATTATATATTATTTTTTAATTAATACTGATGTAATAAAATATTTACATTAAAAAAAAGTTAAATAAAAACAATTTTAAAATTAAATCACAATATAAACATTACAAATAAACTAAAATATATAAAATGTATTTATAAGTCTCAACAGTTTTCGTTTTTATATATTAAACATATATTTTATAATTTTTAGTTAAAATTAGTATATTCTATACTATATACTACTTTAACTTACCACGTAATCTTTTTAAAGCTTTAAAGTTTTTGGAATAACGTTTTTTATTTGGCTCGATACACATTTTGCAAGCAGCTTGATTATACGCACAGTCTATGAGATGTAGTGCCTCTTCTTTGCTGGAAACATTCATAACCAATCGAATGGATCCGCTAGGTGTACGCTGTATATCAAATCGTTTATTATCGTTATCATCATTTTCGGAGTCACTGCTATTTTCGTCTTTTACACTCTTTGATTTATGAAGTTTACGCATTTTACTTGAACGTGAATATGAATAAACTCCTATCATACAAACAAAAAAAAAGAATTTAATATTTAAATTAATAATATTATAATTTTTAAAAATATTTACCATTATTTTTACGTTTTAAACCATCAATATTATTTTTATGGTCAATAGCCATATCACGTTTAGGACAAGTACAAATTTTAACATCTATAACACGCTGAGCAAGCACTTCTCCGCTAAAGATAATACATATTTTTATTACAATTTCATAACATTTGTTTATTCTACAAACTTGATAATAATCACAATAATAATTATAATAATTAGTCATTAACTATTTTTATACTCACTTAGCAGCTTCTAATAGGAATACAATATTAGTCTCTTTACGACCTATACAGGAATTTTGACAGGTAAATTTCAATTCGATCGTTTGCTTGACTGATTTATCTTCACGTGGCATGCCATTGATACCCAAAGGTATAAGCACTGAGAAGCGTTCATTTATACTTTTGCCTTCAGGTGAACCGCAATAGGTTGCTGAAGGATTTTCAGATCGCAACAGACTATTTCGTAACTGTGAATCCAATTCTATAATTAAATGACAAATATATGAAACTGTTGTGTGTCAAATTGATAATGTTAATATTATACATACGTTTCTCCAGACTCATATGATTATGACATCGAAGTACTGGTTTACTAGCTTCTTTTGTAAAACACATAAATACTCTTAAACGTAAAGGTTGCAATGGTAATTTAGGTGTATATACTACATCTAAGCTAAAATTTTCATTCATCCGTAAATAGACTTTATTCAGTGCTTCTGAAAACATAGCTCGGGTAGACTGCAAATTCAAATGAAATCTATAACCTCCAATGTCATGATCTTCAAATGTGGGTAAGACATCTACATTCTGTTACATAAAGAAAATGAAATTAATAAAAAATATTAAAAAAAAAAAACAAAATAGATATAATAGATATAGAGAAATATTTAAACAATATTCATAAATAAACATTGTTAGTTCTCAGTTTTCATATTTCATATAAAATACTTATGGTTCTCTCAACCACACGCAATTGCTATTGCAGCTTAATAGTTCTTTTTTTCACTATACTATATACAATATATACAGTATTTTAAACTTACCAAACATTTTGCATCTAATTGTTCTTTAATCATTATCTCCTGCAGCGCCGATTGCTAAAATTAGTAATAAAATAAAATTTTTAATAAAATAAAATTTATAATAAATTAAAATTAATAATAATAAATTGATATTAAAAATAAAATAATTTTAAAAATAAATTATACAAAAAATATTTATAAAATTATATTAAAAAAAAATCCATCAATTATAATTTAACATTAAGATTATAATATAGATAATAATTTAAAAATAAATATTTTATTATTATTATAGTTGTCACACGTACGTTATGCCTATATATCTGCAACAACTTCATTGTGGCACAGTTTGTTTTGAAATGACTTTGTTTTCATTTAATTTTTAGTAAATAACCACACTGCAATAATATTTTTATGTATCATCATCGTGACGTCACTTTGTAGCATTGTGAAATTTATTATTCATTAATCAGTAAGTAGTAGTATGTTTATAAGTGACTCATACGTCATCAAAGGTAATTTTTTTTTTATCAATGAAAAATTCCATACACATCTATCTATACACACATATCAATCCAGAAGTAAATGTATCTGGGAACACAAAAGGGAATGCTTGCAAGTTCAAACTTGTCAAAAGGCAAAAATTATCAAAAGAAACAAAGCAAAAGAACTTGTTATTTTTTATGAGTTGCAAATTACTTTGCAGCTTTGAGATATTTGCAAAGTGAAATGGTTTGCATTGTAAAAGTATCTTTTGTGTTGAACAGACCATAATATTTAACCACAGAGTATATTAAAAAACTAATTATAAACACGAAATAACAACGAAGTGACTAAGTAAAACAGAAAAAAAAAACAATTTAAATATCAAAGTATCTCCTTTCATACTCATATGATACTCAGATTCTCACTATATACTTGGACTGTAACAAATTTATAAAATTGTGATGAAATTACTACGAGAGTAGTAAATAATATTAAAAAATAAATATATATGTAGATACATATATATCAATATATAATTATATATTTCACATTTTTGTGTTATTGTTTCTATTTGGTACGAAGAAAAGCGACATCGATGCAATAGATAAACGCACGATTAAACAACAGTCGCTGACTACAGTAGCTGAAATTGTCAAGAATATAATTTCTCAAATGCATTTCAGTAGCACTGCAACAATGAGGATTAAAAAAAATGTTTCGACTTATAGACACTTCAAATTAAAGAAGTGTCTATAAATTTGTTAAGTCTATGTAAATTGCCTTCTAAAACATGTTGCACCCTCGAGTTATAGAAGTTTGACTATAATTAAACAATGGCAGAATCGCCAATTACTGTAACCAGCGACAGTTATACCATGTTCCCACTGCAACGAAATCAATTTATATTAATTGAATTAAAATTTGATCGTTTCCATTGGCATTAGTTGATTTAAAAATGTGAAAGAGCTTTTAATGCGTCAAAAAGTTCTATGAGAGTTCTAGTTTATTTACATTTCAGTTGACATCCAACTGAAATTAATTTGTTAAATAATATATAAAATTCTATGATGATACCAAATATATATTTGATATATAAACTTATTTATATATTTTCATACATAACTTATATATTATATTTATAGAAAAACAAACATAATAATTCTTACCTCTTGCTTGTTTAATTTGTTTTTTTTTGTGTTTATTTACACTTTGTTTCATGTGTCAAATATGTTAAATTTCGATCATTTCACTTTTGGGAAATATATTTTGCAATATTGTTGTCGATGTAATTAATTTAAATCTTAACTAATTTATTTTAATTTATTCTTAACTATGTTGGAAAGCACAAAAGCTCTTCGGACCGTTAATTAACTTAATTAGTAACCTAAATCAAATAAACTACTTTAACGAACGTACTATTACTTAATCTATCTCATGCTTCGATTCTGTTTATTTGTTAGCTGAAGTAAAAAAATTAACTTAATCATCGTTGTTATTTTTTAGCAAACATCAATAACACAAAAATGTGATAAATATGAATATAAATAAATATATATGTTACATATTTAAATATAATACACTATTGCTAATCTCATAACCTTCACTGACTTGCTTATGTCAGGCAAATGGAAGAAAATACTCCATCTAAAAAAGTATTTGATTCAATGGCCGTTATTATAAAACGCAGTAAAGAACCTCCACATCTTCGGTCGAAGGACTAACGATACGAAGACATTTGTTACAACCGATTGACAACAACAAGCCACTGATCGAGCTGACTGGCGATGACTACTAAACGTGACCAAGGACGACTCACATCTATCATGAATCAACTTATTTAAAATAAAAATTAGATCTTTTGATAACGTTATCAAAATTTGAGCAAAAAATTGTGTTTAAGTCTATGTAACACCTAATCTTAAAATAGAATGACAGTAGATTTTCTACTTAAATCTAGTGCTAATATCTATTTCACACAAAAAATTGAAAAAAAAAATCCGCATATAAAAAAAATCGTCTGCAATGTTTAAATTTTGTGGTAAATTTTTTTTAATACAACTATTATTATTATTAAATGAATGAATGTACTAGATTTTAACTGCAATTATATTTTATAAACTTTAATCTCATTAAGCACAATTATAGACTATACTAAGCATTTCTAAATTTTTCAGATTATCAAAGTGTAACGATATAAAGGCCCACGTAGATTCTATTAGCAGTAATCAAGGATGTCAACATAAGTACTCATTATAGAATGCTTATATATTCTTCAGGTTACCAAAATAAGATAATTATAGGATACAGCTAAAGTGTTTATAAATTCTGTTCGGTTGTTAGGTAATTTGATATACTTTTCAACTAAGCACTGTGCTCTTTTCAGACAATATGATGAGGTCAAGAAAACAACATATATATATGTAAAAAATGTATGTACATACATGTAAAAAACAGCATACTATGTGCTTGGGGTGTGCCCGGCATTGATGCACAAGCGGATGTAACACCTAGGAGGGTATTTCATGGATCATAAAGATTCAAGTCTAGGAAAGGTCGGCTCTATACTGTCTCTCATTAAAGAAATCGGACTTGGAGAAACATTCTAACCCGGGTAAGTGGCAAAATACATCTTTTAGGTCGCAGTGCACAATTCCTTTTATTAATAATATTAATAATAATAATGTAAAAAAACACAAAAAGAAACAAAACCTACAGGTAAACCAATACAGAAAATACGATACCACAATCAACTGTGATGACATATTTCAACTTCTGGTTTCGGCTCATTTTACACTTTGAATGTTAGAAAAAAACTTTATTTATTTTATTTTTTATCGATTTGCTACTGGAGTTAAGCAAATGGAACTACTATATTAGCACAACAATTAATAAATGCTTACATTTAATGTAGTTTTAGCGGTAAACCTATAGCTCTAATTAATGGATCAATTACTATTAAATTTTTTTATTAATTTTATCTTCAAATGAATCTTTATCAAACACACCAACCATTTTTAATCCTTTAATTTATAAATAATATCTAAGAGCAATTAAAATGCCATTAATACAAAACCAAAAAATAATATAAAAACGGTTTAATTTTTATTATGGACTTCTTCGATTGCTTAAACAATAGAAAATTACAGACCAAATACTGAAGTTCATAAAATTAGTAGCACCTTACATCTCAGTGCAAAAATGAATAATAAAAAGTTAGTGCAATTGATAGTCATATTAATTATTTCTTTACTAACATTACTAGGCCTACATATAAGTTACTTTTCTAGAGCAGAAAAGAAGTTTATATTTTCCAAAGTCCTGCTCTGCTATTCCATAGCGGTTTTGTCAGTGTTTACTTTATTCTACGGAGAACAATTCCTCTACGATTATAATGCAAACCTGATTGCCTTGAAAAACGTTGGTAAACTGCATACTTATATGAATGTAGCTGCGGTTATTGCTAGTTACATTAGCATGGTGGCATTGGTAGTTCCTACAATTGAATTCTTACAACGAGTAAAACTATTTGAGTTGATAACATATTTTGAGGCCGGAAAAAAAGTATTTACAACGGCGGCTACTCTAGTGTTAACAAAAACAATAGCATTTCAGGTTGCAATTGGTTTGGTATCAGTGATCCGCTTTTACCGGAACGATGCAAACAACAAGGATGACAGCCTGGTGCGAACACTTTTCTTATTATTGCCATCCATAATAGCAAGCTTATTACCAAATTGTTTCTTTGGTGCAATAGTCGTGAGTGGTCTATTGTTTAGTATTCTCAATGAACGTCTACAGAATATAGTAAATGAGGTAAATTGTCTGCAAACGGATTTGCAAATGAAACTCCAGAAACCCTACTATCGTATGCATCGGTTTTGTGATTTAGCAGATAATATGGATGTTCTGACGGAAAAATTTATTTTAATATGTGTGGATTCAATTAAATATTTTGATCTGGTAGCTGTACCATTTATTTGTTCTCTAGTCTGCAATTTGTTCGGCATTACTGTTGGATTCTTCACACAATATCTGGCCATTGTGGAAACGCTAGTCAATGAAGAAAGCTATGATGCATTTAATGCTATAACAAACTCTGTGTTTTTGGTAGTATCTATTTGCGATATTGCTTTACAGGCTTATATGTGCAACAAGAGTGTAATGACTGTAAGTTTTACTTTATAATTTTATTTAAATTAAATTATAATTAAATATATATTGATTATTCACTGTGCTTAGGTACGTAACACCTCCATTATATTACAACATATGAACATAACTCATGTAGACATACGTTTTAAACAATCTGCCGAAACATTTTCAGCACTGTTACTTGTCACCAAATATAAAACAGAACCTTTAGGCTTTCTGCAAATAGATATGTCTTTAGTACACGATGTAAGTTCAAATCACTTCAAATTTATTGTAAAGTATATTCTAAATTATTTTATTTTAATTTACAGGTTCTATCAGCTGTCACCAGTTTTTTACTAATTTTAATACAAAGCGATTTATCACTAAGATTTTCTTTAAAATAAATTTTTAATTTATTTAAAATAAGTTAAAGTACCAAAAATTTTTAGATTGTACGCGTTGTACATTGTTTATCAAGTCATGGTTTTTTATGTATTGGTGCACTGCTAGTGCAATATGAGTTAATTATCAGGCAGTCGCGGTACTTGGTTTCCGCCAAGCAAATGAATAAGTCATAGATATTAATGTATTTGCCAATTTTTTTGTATAAGAAAATATCGAAGCCCATAGTTTATATGAAATTTTATGATAAAAAAAAATTGTAGTTAAACAAAGCATTCAAAATATTAAAAAATAGCATTAGCGATGATACCATGTAACCATCATAGGTCTGTCATGACAAAGTGTCTACAGATTACTTTGTCATGAAAGAAACTTTGTCACGCTTTTATGGCGACCAAGAAGATATTTAAGATGACTAAGTTCTGGATACCCAACCAAGTCTATGAATGATAAAAACGTGAAAGTTATTCAACAGACTGCTCTTGCTAATAGAAGAATTACCATTGCAGAGGTCTAAAAAAATAGGATAGGAGTATCATGTGACTCGCGAGGAGAATTCAGGAATATTTGGAATATAAAGTGACATCAAAATTTGTTTCACTACTTTGTATATTGTATCTCATGACAAAACATAACATTGTAATACCACAACCAACTTATCTAGTTTTAAGCACCCTGAAACTGTTTTTCATTTCTCAAATTGAGAGAGACTCTCAAAAAATATTTTCCATCAACAGATAAAATAAAACCAAATGAAGACCATATCTAAAGGGCGTTACAACAGTGTTGCAGAAAACTACGATGGCATAAGTGTTGTATGTTATATCGAAAATAGTTCTCATGGATACGACATTGAAACTCAATAAATTATTTTATAAATGTGAAATTCTTGTTACTTTTTAATCATACTGCGTATATTACATTTTTTAGGTTCGGAATTAAAAACAGTTCATTGGCAGCACTGATTATAATATATGTGTTTTACAAGCAGACTTATGGCTTTCGATCTTCCCTAGTATAATTCGGTTTATTTTTAAAACTTTTAATTTGGCTGTAAAGAAGTTTTTGATATGATATATTTTAAATTCATAAATATATACATTCCAATTATAGTTTTTATAATTTTGCATATATGTAAAAAAAAATACATACCTGACTGAATTGCATTAAATTTTCGGACTGAAATAAAAAAAAAAAATTAATAAATTAAAATATTTGTATATAAATAAAAAAAATTTAATAAAATTTTAAATAACAATTTTAAAAAAAATTTTATTTTAAATAAACAATAGTCCCTTGCTCTCTTTAATTGTTAACCTCATAAAAATAAAAGAAATCAGAGAAGGGGGAAGGGAAAACGATTTTAAAGAAATAATGTAACAAAAGTAATTTACTATGTTGTAGATAATAAATAAATATTAAATCTTAAAAATCATAACACTACATAGTACTTAACAGTCCCTACCATCAACCCATTATAAACTCAGTATGTTAAATTTATAGGCATATATCATCTAAAATGCAACGTTCCAGACACTACTCCCAACCCATGACTATACCATTAAATCTTCTACTATGTTTCAACAGATCTGACAGGAACAGCAATTACGTACGTATTATGAAAAATGAAAACTGAAGACTAAGAACATTGCATGGTTAGGAGATATGTTATGAGAGCATCATTTCAACAAAGTCTGTACAAACATTTACTTAGAACAATAATAATCGTTCTATAGTTGTCAAAAAGTTTAATATCTAATCTATAATGTATATAAATCTGTCATATTAATTATACTCAGAATAAACTATATAACATATGATATAATACATATAAAAGAAAAAACATGTTGCTTTGCATTGAAGAGAGAACTAGAACTCTTGCCTGATTAGGTGCATTTGAGGTGGAGAACTAAGTAGAGACTTTTGATGTTAGCCCCATGTATCAAACTTTTATATTATTGTGAGAGTATACTTCAGTGAAATTTTCCATATATTGAATACTAATCAAGACTTGGTATAACTTTTGTACTCATCGTTTATAAATAATAAAAAAAAATTAAATGCAATTAACACAATATAAAAAGAAAAGTTAAATGCAATTAACTCTATATGAAAAGAAAATTATATGCAATTAACACAATATAAAAAAAACTTATTTGAATAAAATTTACATGTAGAAATTAATTTAAACTATATAACAAATATATGTTTAACCTTAATAAACATTTAAACTAATTAATTATTCAAGTTTCAAACACACACATTTTTTTATTGAATATAAAATAATTTAAATATTATAAGTATATATAAATATAATATATTTATATATTATAAATATTATATTATAAATATTATATTATAAATACTATAATAAGCACAAGAACAAATACGACAACTTATAGTCAATAATAATGTATATTACATATTATTATGTAAAAATACTAAATCGGACGTCTCATCAGACTTAAGAAAAGCTTTTCGTTCACTTATTATACGATCGTTATTTAGAAAAATCCTGCTACATGGTACTGATGTTGCAACAATGCAAAATCTTTTTAATACCAATTGGTACAATCGAGGATAGAGCATCTTGTGTTGTTCCCACCAAGCCAATGGATCTTTCGTACGTTCTAAATATTGTTCATTAATGTACTTGTCTAATTCTTTGCGAGCAGCAACAGATTTATCCTCATCTCCCTTTACCTTTAAAAATTTATTATTATTACTTTTATATAATAACGAAAATAAAAAGTAATTTAATAACTTTTAAAAGGTACCTGAACATAGGTCTCATCATATTTACTCCAAATTGAAGTGCTCGCCATTACCACGTCTGTATTATCTGTATTATCTGTATTATCAGTCGGCAATTCATAATCACAAGATGCAATTTTTTTGCTTATTTCTTTTGCAGCCTTTTCAAAAGTTGATTTATTTTTAAAACCACGTTTCTTAAAACGTGGATCCAATATGGTGCACTCAGCATAAAGATGATTGTGATCTAAAGACTCAAAATGTTTTTGCATTTCTTCTAACAAACAATTTAAGAAATCTGATGCACCTGCGTTCTTTGGATAACGTTCACTTAAAAATGTTCGTAATAAATTGGAAACTACAACTACTTTCGAAAGACTTATATCCTCTTCGGCAGATATTTCAATAGTTATTTCATAAAATGGCTCCAATATTGCCAAAACTTCTTCTATTAACTCCCAATTATGTGGAGATAATCTAAGTTCTCTTTGCAAAAGACCAGATGAAATCAAAACTTCTTTTATTTCCACAACATGAGTAAGCATTTTGTAAGTAGAGTTCCAACGCATAGTATCATCCTGTTTAATTTTGACTTCATTTATACCAATTTGTTTTTGATAATCTTTTAATTTCTTACAAGCTTCAGGGTTTTTGTCAAAATATGTAAAAATATTTTTGACTCTTTGTATTGTTGCCCCAATTTTTTTCAAAGCTTCTTGAACTACCAAATTAAGGCAATGTGCAAAGCATTCCAATTTTTGCCATTTACCCTTTTCAATCGCAGCGAGGATATTTGCACTATTTTCAGTGACTATAGCGACTACTTTATTTGTTAATTGCCAATCATCTATTACTTTCTTCAAATAAGTATGAATACTCTCAATTGCATTTGTTTCGTCATATGATGTGCACAAGATTAAGCCTGAGCACAGATTTGTAAATAAATTAATAAAATGAACCTTTACTGCAATATAACTTTGTCCATCTTGGGATACCCAATTATCTATTGTTAAACACACTGCCTCCGTGGTTAAAAGTTTTTGTTTTAATTGAAGTTCTACATTTTCATACAACTTAGGTAGTAGAATTTGTAATATTGTTTTTCTTGTGGGCAATTCGTATCCAGAACAATGTGATATTTGTGTAATCAATTTACGAAACTCAGGTTCTTCTACAATTCGCAGTGAATGATGTCCTTTGGCAATCATTTTTATAACCTGATTATCGATTTGTTCTTCTCTTCCAACTGATGAGGGAGGACTAGCTATTGTCGTTATAACATCCATAGTTGCAGCTTCTTCTACATCTACTACATCTTGTTGCAAGGGTGATGATTTTCGCTCTAATTGCAATATCGAGGAATGTTTCGTCCTCATGTGTCGATGCAGATTTCCTTGCGATCCTCCAGCGGTTGAAAGAGAGGACTTACAATATTTACATTTAGCTCTACCAGCCTCCTGCACTATATAGTGTGTCCAAATATTACTTGTTTTGCGTTTTGGTGCTCTCCTTCGCAACAAAAAATCATCATTGTCGTGCTAATACATCAAACCGATTTAGTTAATTATATTTATATTTTTATATAATAATACACCATAAATAAAAAGTAAGCAAAATTTAAACAATTTATATTGATTTAAATACTTAATTTTGAATAACATATGATATCGAAACTGCTGTACCAATTTTTTATTAAACTTATATATTTCACATATACATAAGTTTATTTAATACTTCAATATAATTAAATATTAAGCCAGATTATTAATTTCGTATTTAATTTCCATTTATATATAAGAAGTAACTCATTTCATATTGTTTTACCGTAAAATATTAGTGAAACAATAAACAAAAACTATTAAATCTTAATTATTAATAAATAAATATTATTAAAAATAATAATATAATGAAATTAGTAATAAAAATAAAATATTAATTAAAAAACGAATCAATTTGAAAACCAAACACAATTAGAATGATACTTAATTGATTATGCCTTAAGTTCAACAATAACTTTCTTTCATTCATTGGTCAAGAAAGAAAAACACGGTAGGGTACCAGGAGAGAAAAATCGAATTAACAGCATTCAAATAATGTTACTGTGAACAACTTCACTTATTTGCTTTATACTTTAACTTTAAGTAAAATCAAGTTTTCTTAAGTTTTAAAGCAACTACATAGGGTATTTGCAGAATGCCAAGGAATTGTTAACTCAAAGCGCGGTTTAAACATACTTAAAACTTATTGCTCCGCAAAAGAAAGTCCTCTTCTCTCATAACTGTCAATCAAAGTTATGAAAAATGCCGCAGTTGGTCGTAAAAATTATATTTGTATATTAGGAAAAATCAGAACAGCCTTAGGTCAGGTTAGATTGGACTAACCATCTTGTGACCAAAGCCTACTTAAGCGCAAATAATGATCCTTTCTCATATCACAGATTGCCATTACAGATATGCAGACCTGAGGTCAGCGTACTCACAACACAAAAAGGCACAACTGCCTCACTCTAGGAAAGTGCACCAACCTGACAAGTCCATAAACTTGGCAAGGTATCTAATTTTGCAAGATAATAGTTCTGTCCGGTACAACAGCTTTAACAGCAATTTAGAATCCAGAGCAAGACATCTTCTATTAATTAAGACATTTCTATTAATATACTTCATAATACATATCAATGGGACTTTTAAATCCGGGCAAGAAGGTTCGAACATTCTTAAAAGCTGATGAACTGTAACTCAGTTCTGATTGAGAGGTATTTGGAATATTGATACAAATATGGTCATTAATTAATTACCAAAATATATCGATATTTCAGTTTAAGTAGTGTATTATTTTATCAACATATTTTATAGATTTTTTTGAAATCATAAATTTTTAACAAACAAGTTATACTTACATTTAATCCTTGCAGATATGCATAAGCGTCATCTTGCCTGTAATAACAATAAAAATAAAATTAGTTATATAAATTAAATGGTATATATATTTTCACACACTTACACGACATCTTCTTCATTAATGGGCTCATCAACAGTGGAAGCATCAGAATGAGCTTGTACATCATTGCCTGCATCCGTAACAGCAGGCTTATATTCCTCACTAAAAAATATGTATTTATTTAGTTGAGAATTACATAAGTTATTTTGAAATTATGTTAAAATAGAAATTGCATGTCTTAGTGTGGATATTACCAAACAAATTCTTTTAAAATATCACTCATGTCGAGCTCAGCGATATACACGATAACAAGGTTTTTTTGTTAAATATTTGCAAACAATAACAAAGTTATGAAGCTGCGGACAAGGTAACTCATTAAAAACTAATACATTTTACATATAATTACAATTTTCTATATAATTATATATTGTTTTTACGTTACGTAAAGTCTCTAGAGATTTCAATTAAAATGCCTAGAAATATTCAAAACCCCGGAACTAAATATTTAATCTAATAAAAACCACACATTTTAAAACTGGACAAAATTGAGACTTTAACATTTAAAAACCATTTATCTAAATTTATTAATTATTTATAAAAAATAATATTCGGAATATATCTAAAAACCGAATATAATGTAGCGTATGTTCATTAATATAAATGTTATCTCATATTAAGTGGAGGAAAGGGCAGAGCCGCTATGTTCACTATTTACAATTTACACTAGGAAAATTTACCAGATTTTGTGCCAAGACATTAAAAAAATAAGAAATAAGCAAAATTTATACAATTATTTAGTTTGCTTTATAAAAAAATAAATATTAAAACTGTGAAAAATGTATCCTTTAGAAAATAAAAAGAAAACTATATGCACTCGTAAACAAAACACACGCCAAAAATGAGTTCCACAGTAAGAACATTCAGAGTTGCATTTGTGGCTCTAATTAAATACTTAACTGCGGCTTGAAAGTTTGATTTTTCGTAAATCGTTTGTGAGCATGTTACAGTATAACAAATAGTGATTTAAACTAAATTTAATTTGATAATATTGCATTTAACAGTACACGATATAACTTTAATAGCTTGTTTATAATAATAAAAGTAATAATTATTAATTATAACACCGATTACGGTATAACATAACATATTTAACACACAACTATCGTCTTTTATTAAATTTTATTGCACACTTAATAAATTCACTTTAAGAATCTGCATACTCATAATTATTACACCATGGTAATATACAAAAAATCACTTTGTTTTCTATTTAAGAATAATTTATTTTATTTTATTTATAAAAAGCAGTTATTTTTCGTCAAATTTTATGTTTTTGTTTATTTACTTTCAAGTACATAAACACTTTTTCGTAAATATAAATTTTTTTCTTTTACAATAATTTATTATTTAAAACTAATTGTATAAAATACGTTTCTTTCTTTATGTAACTTATGCCAAAATGATTAAGTCTTAAGTTGCTACCAAAAAACTTAGCAAGTCTTTACTTTAAAATTCAACCGAACTAAGTGAAACTTTTAAAACCACTCGTAATACATTATATGAAAATAGTAAACTTGCGGCATGTTAAATGTTGATATCTGATACAAATAATCACTTGTATTTAACAGGTTTACATTAATATTTTATCTTGAGCTTAGCATGATAATTAAAAATGGTGAATAAAAGTACTATTATTAAATATTTCGAAAACAGTTAATTACTATTTTATTGAAAAAAACATTTTTTTCAAACATATTTTTATTTTATATCACTTGCAAATAAAATTAATAAAACACATATTTTTATTTTAATATTTATGTATTGGAATATAGAACATATATTATATGTTCTTTATAATGCACTTCATTATTTTCTATTTAAAATGATATATACAAATAATAATTATTACATGTTCATATATTAAAAATGCAACTCTGTGCATTAAAATTAACAGCAAATTTTGCAAATACTTCGTTCCACAAATGGCACAAACAAAAGAATTTGCAATTATATTTTAAATAAAACTAAAACTCAATATCTACTAATACATTATTACACTTTTAAAGCACATGTATCTTACGTATATATATTTATTTAATATATCGGTAATAACGAATTACTGGATTTCAAAGGTTGTCTACCATTAATTACACAGATTATCTACAAATACTTACCTGTTTGTTTTAAATAAACGAACAATAGGACTAATAAATTTCTACTTACCTCCTTACTATGAAGTTAGATGCAACCACTATCTTGTTTTGTGGATGAAAATCATAAAGTAGCGATTGGTTTATATTCTGTACCTGTTGAATATGTTGTTGCTGTAATTCTGCCATAGGAACTTCAATATTGCAATACATCCGATTATCAAGCATTTCTACAAATTCTATCTCAGCATCACTAAATTAAACGCATTCATTATTTAATTCTTTATTTATATTAGTAAAATGTTATATTAATTACAATTGGCCAGCTAAACCTCTGTACACATTTTCTGCACCAACAGAATTTTGATTTTCGTCAATCATCTCGCGATTCTGCCGCGACATTCAAAAATTTTTTGCAATTCTTGATTCACACGTCCTTCGGCAGTTGTTTGTGATGAAATACGTAAAATACAACCTGTTAAACACGAGTTCTCTTCCAAGTTTACATCAATTGATCATTTACTTGCTCAAATAAGTTTTTAAACATACCATTCAATTTTTTCATTGATTTAATAAGATATTCTTAATAATTTTATAATTACACAAATTTTTTACACTAAATTCTTAACAACAAAAATAAATGCAAAATCAACTAGAACTTCTATTAAATTTAAAATATAAGCCCTTTTTATCCAATTAATCAAGTTTAATTAATATATTAAGAAGAAAAAGGTAACAATTAATTTCATTTAAACAATTGGAACTCGAAGCACAGCCGGCAAACTCAAACGTTTAAGACAAAGTGAAACAGAAAACAAATGATCGAAATGGTGTGTTGAAAGAAATTGTGAACTGAAACGAAACGTCAAATTTTTATTCCCCTCCGAAAAAAGAATTTTATATGCACGTTTGAATATTGATTAAATTTATTTAATTAAATTTTATATTAAAAATAGAAAATAGGCATCACAAAACATAACCTAAGTTTTTAAAGTTATAAAGCACTTTTTCTCTGAGAATTGTTGAGACAAATAATGAATTGAAAGATAAACGGTAAATGTAAACAGTTATTTGAAATAAGGGGAAATGATAATTCTAAAATGACCTTGTAGTAAATAAGCAATATGCTGCGTGTATTAACACATGAGAAAAATTCACCAAATAGACTTTATATACTGAAAATAGTTTATATAATATAAAGTTTAATATATTTTTTATATTTCATAACTAAAATTCACCACGCAGTTAAAGTATAATCTACATATTTATATATGTATATCATAGTAAATTTTTATTTATACATCAGATGTTCTATTTTATAAGTAAACAGTTATTTATTTTATTCAATAATTCGATTATTCAATATTGTTGTTAGGAAATTATTAGTAATATTAATCATATTTAAAACGGAAACTTGAATTCAAGCTTAAGAAAAATGAAATAATATTTGTATATAATGTAAATTATGAATAAAACAAAGTTACATATATTTGTTATAATAAATCGAACCAATAAGCTTATAATATATTACGAAGATTTAAGTGCCGTTTTAAGGTAACACATATCTTAGTACTGGCTAATCTCAACAACCTTGCTAACTTCAGTATTGAGTCAGTATTGTGACTTAAGTTATGACTCGGTAAGTCTATGGTAACTAATTTGCTGTTTATATTTTTTCAATATTTTGTATTGAATCACATAAACATTACTCCTTATTCTATTTTTCCTTCATTATTCCTTAAAATAATTCAAGTGTACTGTAGTTTCCTCGAAGGATTTACTAATATTTAATTGTTATTGCAAGTGCTTATGTAACTATGGTGAATAAATTTTTGGCAAATTTTCATCAAAAATGTTTTCATTTGTCAAATTGTTAGCTAAATATTTTTATTTTAAATTAAATAGTGGTTAATCCATCATTTAATAAAATAATATTTTCTACAACGTCAAGGAACATGTGACATTTATGAAATATCTTTTTTATTTGAATTTATATCAGCACCAGGCTTTACCCTAAAAATATAAACATACATATGTAGTTTTTTTTTTGGCAATCGACAATTATTTATATATAAAACTGACATAGTCTTACCTCTAACTAATATACCTTAAATATATAATGTAGTGCATACAATTCCACACTTCTTATTTAACGTAAATATAATCTCAATTGGATGCAACGCTTCTATTTTATTGTAAACATAAGCTCAGCAGAACAAAGGCTGGAAATGACGCCTGCAAATTGCAAGCCCAGCATTAACGTATCTTTTGTGAAATATTGCCTTTTATGGTAATGTTTAGAAGCGAGACTGGAAGTGATGCTTAGATCTTAAGGCTTAGACATAAGTTATTATTCACATCACAACAATTCAATAAAGAAGAATTAAACGAATCGGTTGTGTTTCATTTTTTATTAAAACAAAAATACAATTTGTAACTTTTATATATATAGAATATATATATGTATATAAATAGGAAAATAATATATTGTTTGCTTTCAATTAAATTTATATCTTTTTTAAGGTGCTCACACTGATATATCTTTTATTATACTTTTTCTTCATATAGATGAAGGCGTTTCATTCTGCGCTTATATGTTGTATATTCGCTGTTGCAGCGAATATTCATGTGTTTTTCATTGATTTGTAGAAAAAGTTTTTTGATTTACTTAGCTTGCCAAGCAAAAATTAAAGTGCTAATAAGAAGTAACAGTTATAAAATATATTTATTGTCATTTAATTTAATTGTAAATAATTATTATAATAAGATTATATACAAAATAATTGTTTACTGCTCTATTAAATAAATAAAAATTTCACCTTAATATGTTATATTTGTGGTGAATATGAGTATGTGCTTTTATTTTTCTTTTGAACTCATTCGTAATAACGTTTGTTTTCCACCATCTGTTTTCGTTTGAATAAATTTATTTAAAAAAGTTTTATTTATAATTTTGTTGTAAAGGATTTTTTCTATATAAATATAAGTTTATTATTGATTAAATTCGAATCTGAATAATAAATAGTAAAATAAAAAGGAGCATAATTTTATCACAGCTCAAGTACCGGAGATCAAAGTTTAATGTGGTTGGAAGAATCAGTTTTTCGCATCGGTGCCATTTGATACAATTACCACAGATTCTATTTTACCGGTTAGTACAATAACGAGCAGTAAAATATTCCCTATAACAAAATATTTTGATTTTATTATTAGGAATCCAAAGTATATGCATATGCATAGCACAAAAGACCAATTGAGTCGAGGTGTATAGTACTAACCAACTCAGTAATATTCAGTAATATACAAAGGCAACCACAGTTCAAAGTAGTCAATAATCAACTCCAAATTAATAAAGAAATATCAAAGATATATACATATTTAAGGAAATGAAACTATATATAATAATGGTATACATCAAATATGTGTACTAGCACTGTGTCAGTGTATTTGCGTCATATCCATATTAGCAGACCTTCATTAAAGTCAGCATACTTTAATTTGAAGTAAATAGATTACCTTCCGCTTTTGCTTAACGAATTTGCTGAATTAAAGCAATAAAAATAAATTTTCTGTAAAAGGTGATGTGTACATTTTCTCAGATAGGCTGGAAACACCGAGCAACCGAGTCTACGTTGTCATGTCACTTATCTATGGTCAAGTAACACTCATCACTCTCTTTGGAGTTTCAATATTTATGAGAATGGTTAGCCCTTGCCGTTCCAGAATACAAACGAAAGTATTAAATAAAATATAAATATTTATAAAACAAACTCAGTTTTAACTACACTACACTTTTTTCAGATGAGATGCAGCATTTGCAATATTTGTGTTCTAGCAAGGATTGTGCACAAGAAGAAACTTTCTTTTAAAAATATATATTTTACGCTGCTAAATTCCATATATGATATGATTTATATAGGGGTCATAAGGATATGAGGGTAATAAGGATTTATATAAGGTAAAAAATCATGTCGAAGAGCAGCCAAACCAAAGTCAGTTATCTTTTTTAACTAAATACCACTTATTACTTCGGTTAAAGTTTCATTATTTATGAGGATGTTGAACCTGTTCGACCATACAATAATAATGTACCCTGAAATAAGAACCAATTATTAAAATAAATCTATGAAAACATATTTCAAAATATTACAATATTTCATGAAAAAAAATTTAACAGCAAATCCGCTACTGTAGCATTATGATCAATTATTAATGATCATTCCAGTAACAATATAAATTAAATTTTGTTGAAAAAAACCAAAAATGAGCAAGAAAGTGTACTAACAAAATTCTGTTTATAATCACTCACAAATATTTTATAAAAGTGATTTTCTTGGAATACGAAAATTGAAGATAGACAGCAGCAATAGATTCTAGTGAGATCAACGCACAACCTAAAGATCATTCGTAAATTATGCTTCAGAGCAAGATGTGTGACTACCGTTTAAGTATGATTGGAACGAAATTTTGCAAATTTTTAGGTGCAATAATTTTAATACTTATAATTCTACAATCAACAGTAAATGGTAAAAAATTAATTAATAATTAATTATGCATCTCCTTTCTCATTAATATATTCTTATAATATTATTTAGCAAAACGTCATCACCATCGCAATCGTCATCACGAAGACAATCAATTTCAATTAGGTTCAATACAACCAACAGTATCAGTTGATGCTTACGGCAACTGTTACAGTTTCAACAATCCATTGAGAGGACGCTGTTTACGATTTATAGACTGTGGAACAGCTGTATGGTCATGGGAGCAACATCGTATACCACCAGTAACTTGTTATAGTACAACATTTGAGCATTTTGTTTGCTGCCCTGATTATAATCCACCACCTTTTTGGCCACAACAACCGCCACCACAAATACCGATACCTCAACAACCACCAATAATTCACTATCCACCAAAACAAAATTATCAAGATCAAAATAATGGGATAACAAGAAGGAATCAAGAGAATAATCCTTATACGCGTATAAGTGAACAAGGTAAAAAGTTCCTTCAACTTTTTTGGTATAGCTAGTACTCTTTTAATATTTATGTATGTATACATATATATATTTGTAGAATGTTTTAAAATGTATGAAGAAAGAGGACATCGTAATCGTAAGCACCGATTTAGAAGAGAACTTAATAATGAGGGCCCAATTTCAGAGGATGATCAAATGAAAAAAATGGATTTTGCACGAACTCAAGCTGTAGGTGGAGTAGCTACATATATTAGTGAATTTCCTTATATGGTAAGTTCAGAAATTCCAAGAAAAGCTATTGAATTATTTTAATTATTAAAAAATCATCGAACGCAATTCTTTGCTCGTTTTAGAGAGAATTTTATAATATTGTATTCAGTTTTCAACGACCCTTGTCGTCTACTCTTAATCACAATATACTGAATTGTTAATAGAAATTTTTTATCATTTAAATTTATATCACTGTCTAATAGTTTGCTGTTAGCGCTGTAGTGATATAGCATAACGTTAAATATATCTTGACACCGCTTCATTTTTCTATCAAATCTGACATATATCGTTCAATAAAAACTAGGTGTATAGGTATAAATAGGTATACTATTACATCCTAGGTGACAACCATTGTTAATAATGTAGGAATCAAGGACAACCTGAAATTTTTTAAAACCAAAAAATAAATTATTTGTTGATTCTTACAAACCATTTGCAGCATTTTACAAGCCTTCACATATTTTATATATACATATAGCCAATAAATCTATATTTCTTTAACTTTTCAAATTTTCTATTACCTTCTTTTGTTTCTTCAGTGTGCAGTTGGTTGGAAAAGTTTTGATCCTACTCATCGCAAATCTTATAATTATAACTGCGGCTGCGTGTTGATTGCTCCTAAATTTGTTCTAACTGCTGCTCATTGTGCAACCTTAGGCGGGTAAGTTCAATAATATACTATATATATAAATATGTTTTTTCTTTTATTTTGATTATTTGAATTAATTTTAGAGAACCACCTAATATTATTAGATTGGGAGGTATAAACTTAGATGAACGTCATGCTGAAATGGTGAAAATTAAAGAAATTACTCAACATCCAGATTATGATAATAATATGTCTTACAATGATATAGCTATATTTAAACTGGAACGAAGTTCAAGGTAGCATATAAATTTAAAGTATTGATAATATCTATTGTTTTTTAATTTGTTATTGAAGAGAGGTACCAGCATGTCTTTGGTCTACACCAACTTTACCTCAACAAACTCTTATCGCCATGGGTTATGGGCAAACTAAATTTGGTAATTTTAATTATATATTATTTATTAATACGTTTTAAGTAATTTTATAATTTTTATCTTGTTCATATATGCTTTTATATATATATATAATAATTTTTAAATATTTTATAATACAATATATTTAGCTGGCCCATCTTCAAATACTTTACTTAAAGTGTTCTTAAGTGTTTTAACAAACGATAATTGTAATAATTATTATAAAAAAGAAGAAAAGTTACCACGTGGTGTAACGACCGGTCAAATATGTGCTGGGGACCCTCAAGGTATTATGGATACCTGTCAGGTAAGCATTGTTCATTAAATGTATTTTCTTTTTTCATTTTCATTTTATACTATTTAATCTTATTATAATATTTTTCTAATTACAGGGTGATTCGGGTGGTCCATTACTGATGAAATTGCCAAATTATAACAACATCGTGCCATATATAGTTGGTTTAACATCTTTTGGTTCAGGCTGTGCAGCTGGTACACCAGGTGTATATACTAGAATTTCAACTTATATTGACTGGATCGAGGATATTGTGTGGAAATAATTTTAGAACTTATTTATTCGTTAAAACAATCAAATTTTAAAAAAAGAAGATAAACTTTGTCTTAACTAAATAGTTCAATGATTCAAAAAAATATATATGTATACCAATTAAAAATATATATCGAATATTTCAGAGTTAAAATAAAATTTGGAAAATCATTTGTATAGAACAATTATTTACTTTTTAATGAGAAACCCTTTACACAAATTGGTATCTGCTTTTGTTTATCAAGTTTGACATATAGCTCCGAGATATATTCACAGCCGTTTTCAAGATCATTGCCTTGCCCATCTATTTAAATTTTCATAAGGTTTCTAAAACTTAGCTCAATCATCCTATTCACATTTTCAGTTCTCTCATAATTAATTTTTTCTTATCAAATACCATCTTTATCTCATCACTTACAACATGCTAGACAAGGCGAATCCTGGGTCTCACAACGGATTACAGCAATAGTTTTTCAAGAAAATCACATTTTTAATTAATTTTATTTTATTAATTATAATTTTAATTAAAAGAACCAGATATTTTATGCTTAATTTTATATTATATTATACTTGTCCAACTTAACAAATACTACATATATATACACATATAGTAACACGGAAATAAAAAATTTATATATATTATATATTTTTAAAAACGATCTTTTCGATCCAATCCAAATAGGAATATATTTTTGTATAAACACCAGGAGCTTTAGGAGCAGCACAAAATTTTCCAAATGATGTTATACCGATCACAAATTTAACACAATTAAATTCTGGTATTTCTATATGTAAAGGTCCTCCTGAATCGCCTTGGCAAGTATCTTTGCCCCCTTTTAAATATCCAGCGCATAATTGCTCATCAACTATACCACGTGGTAAACGTCTTTCGGTTTGATATATATCTTTACAAACTTTCTGATCAATTATATTAAGCTCAACTCTTTGTAAATCTTGAGATTTTGGACCCATAAATTCTGTACGCCCCCAACCAGTAGCTGAGGTGCTTAATATTTCAATATCTGGTAATTGCCATAAACATGCTGGTCGAACTACTTTAGAGAACTTAACTCTTTTGGTCAATTTTAATAAAGCAATATCATGATAATAACTTGATGACTGATATTTTGGATGTAATATTATTAGAAGTATTTTTATATCCTGCTGATAAATGGACGTAATATTTAAATTCACAGCACCCAAACGTACCATATCAGGAGGTTTACTGCAAAAATGAGCAATATTTATAATAAATTTATATATATAATAATAAAGTAGAGCTGTAAGTGTTATGACTTACCTACTGGAGGAAATACAATGCGCAGCAGTTAAAACAAAAAATTCACTAATTAATGTACCGCCACAGCCCCATTTAGTATCGTCACTGTTTTGTGTCCATCCCAAGGCAGCCTATAGCATAAATTGATTTCTTTTAAAACTATATTATATGATTATATTTTTGAATATATATTATAGGATTATATATTGGGTTGTTTTTTTTTTTGCGTTAAATGGACACTATCCATTTTCGTTATTGTAGATCGAGATATATAACAGGTACTTGTAAGAAATGTTAGGTAAATATAGACTTTATGGAAATAAAAAGTAATAAGAGATTAATATAAAGTGAATTTAGTTAAAAAGTACTGAACAGGTTTTGAACCGCTATAGCAGTACAGGGGTTAGTCTAGTCGAAGAGCTAATTCTCAAAGATCAAAACCAAACACGGGCTCAATTTTTTTATTATTTTTTAAGTTTAGCCTTTTTAAAGTGAAGAAATTCATGTTATTAGAATCACATTAAGACCGTAATTATAAAATCTGTTTTAAGAAAATAAAATTCCACTTCTAGTGATATCGGAGTCAATACGAAAACAATACTTTTTTTGTTTTCAAAGTTATATAAAGTTTATATTCGTTACTAAATTTTGTACTTACCATATGTGGATATTCCACTGTGCTTGTTAAATGTCCACCAACTATCATAGGTACACTGGGTACACAAGTTCTACCAGAAAAATTACGTAGTTGACCTATTTTAACATTTCTTATAACTTCATGATACTCTTGACATTCTTAAATAAATAATTATAATTATTAGTTTAAAACATTTTGTATAAAATTAATAAATAAATTATTACACTTACTTTTTGCGCTGATTCTTTCGTGATCAACATGCTTATCCGATAATGGACAACAAATGACAGGTATACTTTTTCTATACGTACAGACATCGATTTTAATATTATGCATTCTATATTCCCGAATTACATGTAAGCATTGATAAGCTAAAATACAATAACCACCACGGCCATCAAACTGGCGTCTACAAAAGCTACCTTCTTCACGACGTAATGGTGCATTTTCATTACCGGGTCCAATGTGGTTCTCATCCACAAATTTAATTTTTTTACCAAACTTATTTGCGAATGGGTTAGGTTGCAACATTGGTACCGGATTATTCGGTTGTACTGAAGACGTAGCTGGTACATTTTCACTCTCGACATTAAGACTATTTGGTAAATGATTGGTTGATTTAATAGTCTTTTTTACGCGTGATAAATTTGAAGCTGTTATCTTCCCAGCAAATTGATTAGTATTGTGTGACCATCCATTTGCCAAGGTGTAGCGTGTGGTGTGATACTGATATATTGGAGATACATTTAATGCTAGAAATATATGAATAAGTTTTATTATATATTTATTATATGTTATAATAATATAATAATTATTTTGTTTTTTATATTACTATATATAATATTTTTTTTAATTATATTTGAGTCTTTTAGGTAATAATATTAAATTGATATTTACCCTGTACAGCTTGTCTTAAAAAATATAACAAAATTAGTAGTAACTTTAGTTTAAAAATGAACATCACTCATACAAAATATAATTTATTTATGATTTTAATTAAACAAAATATAAAATTTTTGATAACATGTGTTTACAAAAACTTAATAAAGAAAAATTACAAAAGAAATAAGTAAGATTAATGTAAGCCTATTATTAACAAAATAATATTTTTGAACATTTTTTTAATCCGTCATGTCGATCACTAGTTATACCCTATAATAACATATATGAAGTTTTGTACGTATATAAAATATATATGGAAGTATACTCGAAGAACCAAATATTAAAATATAAACTGCTTAAATATTTTTAAACGACTGTATTTTATTATTAGCATTCAATGCTTTTATACTATTTTGCTAGGTTACAAAATTCCTGAAACTTATAAACATACCGTGTAAAATGGTCAGACTTCGGCAAGTTTCTTGCAAAGATTCTCACTTTTCAACTGACATATACACATTTCTGTTCGCAACTTAGACGCCAAGTAAATGCATTTCTAAGAATTAGGGACAAAAAATTTTACCTTCAGTTAGTGAACCCTATTATTATAGCAAGTGCTTTTAATATATAATACAAAAGAATATCTACCCTATATGCACATAATTAAAAAAGGTCATAGGACCGTAATTAAGGTTTGCACATATTGCAGATTAGTAATTTTATTGTCTTAATACAATAATCTAATAATATAAAGATTTATATTTGTTATAGATGTGTTTCCTAGATTATTAATAATTATCAAGCATATAAATTTTCGTTAATGTGCGAAATGGTTTGTAAATTTCCAAGCATACGTTTACACTTTCGCAATTAACTCAATAAATGTGATGCAATTAGTGACATATTCTAATTAAAATCTAAATAAAAATATATTAAAATGTTTTGATAAATGTTGTAGTATAGACAGGGTGGTAGTACAAACAGGAAGAAGAAGCTAAGGATAATTTTTCTATACGTAAAATCAGTAACAATGAAAAAAAAATGTAGACAGGAATAAATTCCCCACACAAAAAAAGTAAAAGAACATAAAAAACTACTTCTCAAATGATCAAAAAAGTACAAATACAAATTAGTCAATGAGATGGGTGGGACCCTGTAGTACCCCCAGCTATCAAAGAGTAAAAGTGTCCAGTTGCGCTGACTCGAAAAAAAGGGTCAACATACATACTGCTTACTGTAGACCTGCCTGATACACATACCACAGAAAAGTAACTAAGAAGACATCATCCTATGGAACCTCCTTTTATTATAAAATATAATTATGTTTCTACTCTTGGAGCGATAAATGCCGCTACCTCATTAGTGACGTATAGAAAGACTTGTTTAAGGAAGATCCATAAATGGGCCATAAATGCCGTGACATATAAAAAGACTTGTTCAAGAAAGGTTTTTAAAACTAATTTAAAGTTCATGTAAACATATTCAATTGAAAAAAAATCCATTATAATTATTATAAATCAGTTTGAAATACTTTAACAGGGTTTGAGTCTCAAAAGACACCCATCCTCTATGAAACACTGTTGTATCTCACGGCTAAAGCAATGAGCGTAAAAATAATGTTTATGATAATATACACAAAGCGTTGGAACAGCAAATACTATTATGCTATGGTTTTTTTTATGCTTTTAAGTAATACAAGTAATACATAATATATATTATATAAAATGATATATAACTTTTATTAAATTTCTTTTTTCATAATAATAATATTCATAATAATCATATTCCTATAGTTACCAATTAAGCTAAATGAACCTCTATTCCTGGGATTAGAAAGATGATCGAAAAAAAATGTTGCATATACTACATTAAAAATAGATACTAGTATCTAAAAGGTAGAACACGGAATAGATAGAGATACTTCTATCTCTATGCTCTTCTATAGAGATGTTTTTTCTTTCACCGCAGAACAATTTTCTGTTAATAATAATATTATATTAGTACTACTATAATGATATTATTATTCATAATTTTTTAAAAAATAAAGTCACTTAATATATTATTTATTTTTAAACAATGTTTTCCTCTATTATTTTTCAGTGTAACCTCTCTCAATAACTTCTCCTTTGAAGTATCGAGAGAACTAACAAACAAGAAGTTACTAAAGCAACAGTACTTTGTTTTATTTTTAATCAATACTAACAAGTTTATTTTAAAACAAAACATTACCTTTTTATAAAAATGAATAATTTATATAGTAAATAATAGATTCTGAAAATAATGGGTGCCAAAGCAAAGAAGAAACGGAATAGTAAAGATTCTACAGCCAGCAATAATGAAGAAACTACAGAAAAGAAAGAAGGCGGTAAGAAAAAAACTGGCGGTGGATCCAAATCTGTAGGTTGTGACATACTCAATGATGCAGCAATGGAAAATGCTTACTACGTTTGTCATAATGTGCAGGTTTGTGTTATATATCTTTTCTTCATTATAAGCTATTGTTTTATTAAATATTTATAGACTTCATTATTATAATTCAAATAAGAAATCTAAAAGATGTAAATGTACAGTTTTATTTTTTTTATTATCTCTAAGGATTGTGTTGCTAATTAAAGTCGTAAAGATAGTAGTTCACATGTAATTTAAATTATTTCAAATCCTATATCACCATAGGTGTTATATTTTGTGTTAAACCCTTTGACTTTTAAAGAAATATAATCAAAAGTGGGGCAATAGAAGTTAGATGGTCCCAAAATCAGTTTCTGCGTTTTTTTACAATTGTAAATTAACTTACACTGATCATAACTTTAAAGGAGTATTTAATGATGTTTATAGAAAAATCTAATGAGTTTCAGAAACGATTTTTAATGTAATTTTTTGTGTTACTTCATTTCAAATTGGTTACCAGAGGTACTTTACTAATCCAATTTATTAATATGACTGTTGCAGTATTATTACAATAAACATATTTTAATTATACTTAAGAATATGATTATAGGAATAGTAGGATATAACTCTTAGTTTCTGGATAATTTCCATTTAGTATATATTCGGCTTGAAATTAGTACAGAACATAACACGAAACGTAACCAGAATGAATTTCGGAATGTATTCAAAAAAAATCGTTTTCAGTTTTGGTCAGATGCATTTCAGGGTTTCCTAAGTTAAGGTAATTGCATATAGTCGACCGTGGTCTTAATATGGAAATTCTGCCAGTACCATGGTAAGAATTGAGAGGGATACTATATTGGAAATACCGTAGCATCTAGTTTCTTACGTCTGTTAAATCATGTTAAATCTCCAGTTGGGTGCTTGTTTTTATAAATATAATTTTTGGTACTCAAATTTCTTTTTAATATTAAATATATTTTATTCTAAAATATATCATAAGATATATCTGTATATGTTTTTTAAAATCTATATATAAGTAGGTTAAAACTATATTATTTTAATATATGTATTTTATGCCTTTTTTTCACATTGCAAAAGTATATTTATTTTTTTTCGGTAATAATATTATATTTTTCGGTAATATTATATAGCACTTTTTTAATTTTTTATTCTTTTGTAACAATTGTTTTGTGTAGGTATTCCCTACCTAAGTTGAGAACTAACTGCTTGAGTGAGCGAAGTGATTTTTAGTAGACTAATTCTCTTGCATTGTGATATTTTCGATCTATGTATAATTTAACGACTTCAGATAATGATATTAAGCATTTCTTTGTAAATATTTTCATAATCTTAAATACTTTATAGTAAATATTATTAATTTTTCTTCTAGGATGTTTTGAAAGCGCGAGGTTTTGCTTGGCCCGATGGACAAAAGAAAAAGAAAAAAGGAAAACGTTGAATCATATATAGTATATAACTCTAACTATATATTAAACTATATATTCATCTTTTTAGTATAAACATATATGTATAAAAATTACTTATTATTATTTACTAATAATATCAATATTGTTACAAATATTAATCAATATTATTATAAGCCAATATTTCAAATAATCTTACGTACATATGGAATAAAATGTCATTGTTAATACAAATAAATAAAAACATATTTGTCTATTTTTCGTCTTTATATCTGCAGCTACTGCAACATACGTTACAAGTGATGCCCAAGATTTCAGTACGTCTCGGTGAGACAAATCAAATTCACCACGATTTTTGATATTTCTATTTCAGTGCTACATAGGCGGAATCTTGATTTTTAATAGATTGTTGTATGGTCTTGTTAATTTGGAATTTTCGCACAAATATATATTTTGCTAATCTTTTTATCAGAGATCAGCATTCAATCCTCATAAGAGTACTTTTGATGGCCCCCCGTTTTTACAAAATTCCCAAAATCCACTTCAAGTCATGTTACTTTTATTCTAACCCTATCCTTGAGGATCTCTGGTAATAAAAAACTAATTTATGATGAATTTAGACTTATTACACTAAAATATTTTTGGATAATCTCAAAAAAAGTGCTTTTGATATCTCCTTTATATTCCGAAACAGGTGAAAGAGTTTTAATACTATATCTTATATCTTTAATCTTATATCTATATAAGCTATATCTTTAATAATATCTGATTTTTGAACAATTATTTTATGGTTATGTTTACTTGGATATTTCGCACAATTATACATTCGGTTAGTTTTAGAAAAATGCTGTTAATATATTTCTAAGTACTTTATATTCGAGGTTAGTATTGGTGTTCCTCAACTTAGATACCAATATTTTAATTGTTTTTTGCAGAGTTATTTAGGAATTTAATATCATTCTTTTCCTCCGGATATTAGGGAATCCATAAGATTCATCAAAAATTATGATAAATATGGCTCTATCTTGGATAATATTTGACTTTTAAAGATTGTTGTATGGTCACTTGGATAATCTTCGGCTAATCTTCGAAAAATGTTTTCAATATAGGTTAGGTTAGGTTACTGGGGCCGTCCGAAGACTCACTTAGACCATGAGGTCCATTATGATATCCTAAGAATTTGACACCTGTCCCTATAACCACTTGGCCGTAAAGGCCGTTGGACAGAATTTTTGCTCCGCAGTAGCCAATCCGACAAGGGAAGCCCTTAAGGACCTGAAGAATCCGTCGGTATAGCCTAGTGCATCTCTGTTGTCCCCAGAGACCTCACGCCGATGAATCAGAGCAAACTCCAATTCTTAGCTAGAACAGTCTGCAATCAGAACTCTCTATTACCAGTCGACACCCACGGGGAGGGTTAGGCAGAGGATTTATGTCAACCGTTTTCAATATATTTCGGGACACTTTTCAAAATGAATAGCCGTGGTACTTAATGCACTCTCAATAGAGGAACCAATAAAATTTTATTTCTTTGTTTTTCCATCTTTTATTTTGAAACCGATACTAGTGAAATCAGCCCAGTTTACTCTTTGATTTTAATTGTCTTAAACTGCTTGTTGGGCAGTTCAGCTGGTGCAGAGTAGTAGAGGTACTGCAAATCTAACTTTTTAGAAGATCACAGCATATTCCTTTGTAGATTCTATTGTGAAATTAGTCAGCCAGCTTTTTTAATTACAAAGACTTCGGCTTGGAAACTGTTATTAATTAGGTCGGAGTTAATACAGGAAACATATTCCATCTCATATGACATCAAAATTACTCTCTTTACTATGAGTAGAGTTTATTGATAAATCAAATTATTTGGATCAAAATATTAATGTGTTTTAATTTTAGATATTTAAATTCGAATCAAATTGTCATAAATGTAAAGAGCCCTATTAATACACCCACTTAACTTGGTCAAACACATCACAAGATCTAAAATTAAACATAATAAGTCACAAATAGAATATAAGAAATGTGAAAATAGAAGACAAACGAAAACACTTAAAACAAATAAATTTATTTACGAAAAAAAGATATGTTCTAGAAACTTTTTGTTTATTTAAAAACAACAAATTTTGCAGCTTTTTGGAAAAACATTTTTAATTTTGACAATCGCGAAAAAAAATCGTAAAATAAACATAATTGCATGGAATGAATTGCTCTGAGAAGATATGAAAAATAACGTTCACATTGAAAGGTCCACGAGTGGAATTGGTCCATGAGTGTACCGAGTTCACTAAAAATATCAATCGTAGGCATTAAAAAAGGTAAACAAACTCAAACGAAACAATCCGAAGCAGAATTTTGTTTATGGAATCACAGATAAATTCGAGAGGAACACTCAAAAATCACACAGTCTAGCATTGCGTTTCGTTGGGAACAGAAATATTTGCCGGTTCTGATTCGGGTGCAAGAAGTACATAATTAAAAACATATATAATATACTTATATACGTACATATATATTAGAAGAAAAAAAAATTGTGCATTCAGTGTCGAAAGTAGTGATATCACTAGCTATTTTTGGATTTGTTTTATAAAAATTATTATATCAAATAAAATATCTTTAATTAATATATCAAAATGGTGAAAGCTGCAATTGGTATCGATCTTGGCACAACCTATTCTTGCGTAGGCGTCTGGCAGAATAATAAAGTCGAAATTATTGCCAATGATCAGGGTAACCGCACAACTCCCAGTTATGTTGCATTTAATGATACTGAACGATTAATTGGTGATGCTGCCAAAAATCAGGTAAATATGAATGAATGTATAAAATGGTGTATATGTATTATATACCATATATGACCAGATTTTCCTACACTTTTCTCCGAATTTAAGTATTGTTCTATATATCATGAAATTTATTTTTAATGACTTAAACTGGTTCTTTCTTACATAAAAGAAGAATATTTTAATAACTGACCTCCTAGACCTCCTCCTCCTAAGACCTCATAAGATTATAACACATTTCACTTTCGATATACCGTGATACTCCGTGATAGATTTTAATGGGTTTGTTAAAAGCATTTCCATGTAATTAAAAAGAAACTGATAGGAACTTTTTTAATTAATAATTTATTAAATTAGTTAAAAATAAATAAAATAAAATAAATAAAATTTAAAAATAAATAAATTTTAATCTGAATAGATATTGCGGTTCAGTAACTCTACTGTATATTTAGTCTACTATATAATAGCTGTTGCTATAGAAGTTTCAGAACTATCAGACCACATTTCTTAAACAAAATTTTGTTTCAGATCTAATTTTTTATTTTTTGTTTATTAATAAATTTTGAAAATTAATATGAAGCTATTATTCTATTTTAATGTTTTTTTAAAGACTTGAAATTTTTTGATATATTTATTCAGTATATAGACCATTTCAAACAAAAAAGAAAAAGGTGAAGGTTGAATGATACCATTTAATATTATGGTAATATCTTTATGTCTAGTATATATTTTTTTATATTCAATTCGGAATGCATATAAATTTCTTTATTTGTTCTTTTGTTTAAATACAGATTCAAAATAAAGTAAAATAAATTAAAACAAAATAATATAAAAAAATAAATTACATTAAAATACAATAAATAAATAAATAAATAATAACAATAAAATTAAGTAAAATGAAATGAAGTAAAATAAATTTAAAGTGTAATAAAATGTTATATATATATAATACATATATAATATATATATGTAATAAAATGTTAGTTTAACATTTTAAAGTTCGTTTAACATATAACAAAACGAAATAAAATAAAATACAATAAAATATTAAAAATAAACTAAAATAATATAATATAAAATAAATTAAAATAAAATAAAATTATATAAGATAATGTAAGATAAAATAAGACAATAAAAATTAAAATAAAAAAAAAGCTAAATAAAGTAAAGTAAAATAAAACAAAAACTATAATTTAAAATAAAGTAAAATAATATAAAAAACAAAAAAATAAAATAAAGTTAAATAAAATAAAGTACAATAAAATTAAGTAAAATAAAATAAAGTAAAATTAAATTAAACTAATCATTTATATACGTATAGTATAAAATGAAGAAGAACATAAGTTAGTAAAATATAAAATAAAACAAAATAAAACACAATAAAATAAAAATAAAATGTACTAAAATAAAATAATAAAAAATAAAACAAAATAAAATAAAATAAAATCATATAAAATAATATAAGATAAAGTAAGACAAAGTAAATTAAAATAAAAAAAAAATTCTAAATAAATTAAGGTAAAAAAATAATAAAATAATGTAGTTTACTGTAATTTAAATAAAGTGAAATAGTATAAATTAAAATATTATAAAATAAAATAAAGTAAATAAAATAAAACAAAAAATATAATAAATATAAATATATATAATATAAATATTAATAAATAATGCAAATACAAAAGTAAAATTAAATAACACTAAATAAAGAAAAAAGCAAATTCAATTATTTTTTGTTTTGTTTTTAAACTTAAATATATAATACAGAAATAAAATAAAAAAATTAAAATAAAATAGTTATTTTTATAATTATTTTCAACAAGGAATAAGTGGAACTATTTTTTAGAGTTTTCAGTCAGTAAGAGCGTAAGAGAGTTTATCTTATCGTCTATTCAGAAAGAAGTTCTATTTGTATTAGGTAAAGTAATGAGTGAGATCTGGACATCATTTTAAATATTCCTACTTTATGAGTGAGTTTTTTGAGTAAAGGATATATATAATCATTTTCTTTTTGAATGTACTATTGGCATTCCCTTTTTTAATTAATATACCATTTACATACCCATTAGTCCAACACTATATATAAGAATACTCTGCTTAAAATCTGTCCTGAATGTTAATTAAGGAATAATGATCTGTTGGACATTTATATGAAATTGTAGAGATTTAAACATTACTACCGATAGAGTCTAATAAGTTCATTGATTTTAAATTAAGAGAGTAAAATAATTCACTTAATAATATTATTATACAAATTTTAAAAAATATATTTTTCTAAAATATATTTAATTTATTTATTTCACAATTTAGTTTATTTTGAAATTTTGAATACCATTATAACTATCTATCTTATATATATATATATATATATATATATATATATATCTTTCTCTGGTAATGGTTGTTTATGTCTTCGCTTCAACATAATGAATAAATAAATATTTTTTCCTTAATAAAATTGAAAGTATAAAAAATTATAGGGATTCAATTTGACTTTAGAGCAGAATACTACGAACTCTTCGAACTGAAACCAGAATGTCTCCCATTGAGAATTTTCTGATATCAGAGAGGTATTTAAAACCGAATATTCACAAAGTATGTGATTAGAAGTTGCCTCCCCCTTTAGGCAAAGACGACATTTTATCAATTTAAACATATACATCGCGTTGAAATGATAAAGCAAGCTAAGATGCCAAATCAGTTAAGACTGTTAACAACACTACCTCTGCTACTTATATAAATTAAAAATTATCAAAATTTTAAAATATAATAAAATATATTAAAATTGTGAACTAAAAATACTTTTGGCACTCTTAATAAAACCACATCATTGCAATTAGAAAAAATATTTCACATCATTCACAAATTAAAAATAAATTGTTTCACTTTCAAACAAAAATAATTAAAATAAATAAATTTAATTTAAATTAATTAAAATCAATTATGTTAAAAAAAATAAATTAAATTAAATTAAATAAAATAACAATTAATGGATTGCATTTCAAATTGGTTACAAGATAATTTGACAACTTTTTAATTTTGTAATTTATTAGTTTTGCGAAAATTATAATTTTCCTCTCCCATCAGAAGTTTGTCTTGACCTCATCCATTTTACAAGCGCACCAGTTACTTCGAACATGTGTTCAAAAATGGCAGACACCGATACGCCGCCATATTTGTCAGCCTGATCGTGTTAACTGATGCTGTAAGCCATAATTTTGCGCTGTAACCATTTAAGTAACTCATTTTAACCAAGTTAAAATTACTAAAAGTGCTTAAAATAAATTTGTTCTCATAGTCATCGAATATTTAAACTATTTTTGTAATTATGTAGGTGTGTCATCGCAGACATATTTCTAATAAAAACAACAACAACCCAAAATTGCAGATCTTCAGAGTGTGAATAATTTTTCTTCAGAACATTCTGGTACTAAATCTCTTGAATGCTTCTGTGATCTTTACTTCAATTTTATTGTTTCTATCAGATCAACTTTTTATATATAGCAATCGTTTTTCTATGTTTATAAATAATTCGACATTATGTTTATTTTTATAATATTTTTCTGCTTTCAACAAATGCAAAAATATGTTTTTCATTGTTGAAAATCTATTAATTTTCTGTGGAAAATTAATTTTTTAATTTTTAAAAATTTTGCGAGACTATATTTGATGAGTAAAATCCAATAATAATACTTTACTTATAATACTGTTCATAAAACAGAACATATAGAAATTTTTCTAAATAAGTAACATAAATTGATGAGGTGATACATTAACATAGACAAGGTTAAGTAAAGTTTGAGTTGATCTCGAATAATTGCCCACGAATTAACGTTCTTTATATGCAGACCAGAAGGACGACCGCAAAGATCGCAGAAATCAGCGTATAAACCACGTTAAAAACATGACTCCCTTCTTCAAATTGATAAGTCCATAAAGTTCGCTAATACCTAATTTTAAATGACGGCAGCTATATTAGGTCTTCTTGATCTAAGAAGCAAAAAAAACGTATATTATGCTCTACGTACTAACAACGTTGAAAGGCACGACTGCCCCACTCAAGTGTAACCTATACATAATAAGTCTATTCACTTACACAAGTCCCTAATATTAAAGGATAGCAGCTGTGTCGGGTCTTCTTGGCTTGAAAAACGAAAAAAGTCGTAAAGAAAGAGTGTGTTTAAGTTTAAATTTTTACCTAGATAGAATATGCCAGAAAAGTCTGCCCAAAAATTTCAATCATATAAATCTCAATTTCTTAAAAATTATTTATTCAAATGAGTGACATAGGGCTTTTTAGTCTAGTAATCCAAGGATTAATAATAATACTATAATAATAGTAATACTAATAATAATCCTACTAATAATTTCTCTAATAATTCTCTAATTAAATGAGTAAATAGATATTCAAATGTTCGAGACTTTTCTTTAACAAAACTTTATTTATTTAAGATAGATATATTAATACAAAGTCTATATATAGATTTATATATATATTGATATATATCATACGTTAATACTTTATTATCTTTAAATATTTGTTGTACAAGAATTTTTTCTATATTACTAACTATTCTTTAACAAAAACACACAATTTATAATTTAATATATACATATACATACACAAATTATGTCCCCCTAGGCGGAGCATTAACCCTTTTCTATCAGCTAAAATAGAACTCTGTTATAGGAATAAGTAACGGATATAATTTCACAAATAATTCACATCTCTCAACTTTCATTCTACTGTTTTTTGCAAGTCATGCTCAGCGTATAGGGGTACCAAGAGACTTGTGGGATCCACTTTAAGGCCTATCGTGCAATATTGCTACTTAGTATTCTTTCAGTATGCTCTATCTAGCCACATTTGCATTTTTGAATTCGTTCTATAATGTTAATTTGGCTTATACAATCCTAGAAATTAGTGGTAGGTCTTCTCAGAGGTCCTGAAGTATTGGCTAAACTCCATTAGGTAAAATTGTCTTAATATTTATATATATATAGATTATAATTAAGTTCTATATAGATTATCTTTTAAGTTAACATACATTTAGTTCTAAGTTTGAGAGACTTGTATTGAGGACTGGATATTTTCGAGGTAGTTTTTGAAACCACTTCTAATATTTTTTCTATATAATTAAATGGGAATATCATATCATAATTAAATTAAGTATTTCTATAATTTATATCTTACAATATCACGAATAAAAATCACATATGCCGTTCTGCTTCTACCAATTATTGACTAAAGACCTATTGCTCTTGTCTTATATTTTCAGGTAGCAATGAATGCCAGAAATACAGTTTTTGATGCTAAACGTCTAATAGGTCGTAAATTTGATGATCAAAAAATACAAGAAGATATGAAGCATTGGCCATTCCAAGTTGTAAATGATTGTGGCAAGCCAAAAATCGAAGTAGAATTTAAAGGAGAACGTAAACGTTTTGCACCCGAAGAAATTAGTTCCATGGTATTGACAAAGATGCGTGAAGTTGCCGAAGTCTACTTGGGTACCAAAGTAACAGATGCAGTTATCACAGTGCCAGCTTATTTTAATGATAGTCAACGTCAAGCTACCAAAGATGCCGGTTCAATTGCTGGACTAAACGTATTGCGTATAATCAATGAACCAACAGCAGCCGCATTAGCCTATGGCTTGGATAAGAATCTCAAAGGTGAAAAAAATGTACTTATCTTTGATTTAGGTGGTGGCACTTTTGATGTTTCCATACTGTCCATCGATGAAGGTTCACTCTTTGAAGTGAAATCAACTGCTGGTGACACACATTTGGGTGGTGAAGATTTCGATAATCGTTTAGTCAATCATTTTGTGGAAGAATTCAAACGCAAACATAAACGTGATGTTTCAGGAAATGTACGTGCTTTACGTCGTTTGCGTACGGCTTGTGAACGTGCTAAGCGTACACTCTCCTCTAGCACTGAAGCATCGATTGAAATAGATGCTCTACACGAGGGTATCGATTTTTATTCGAAAATATCACGTGCACGCTTTGAAGAGTTGAATATGGATTTGTTTCGTTCCACATTGCAGCCAGTTGAGCGTGCCTTGACCGATGCGAAAATGGATAAGGCAGCTATACATGATGTTGTGTTGGTCGGTGGTTCTACACGTATACCAAAAATACAAAAAATGCTGCAAGATTTCTTCTGTGGCAAACAATTGAATTTGTCCATAAATCCAGATGAAGCTGTTGCTTATGGTGCTGCTGTACAAGCGGCTATTTTGACCGGTGTTGGCAGTTCACAAATTCAAGATGTTTTGTTGGTTGATGTAACACCGTTGTCATTGGGTATTGAAACCGCTGGAGGTGTCATGACCAAACTAATTGAACGCAATGCCCGTATACCATGCAAACAACAACAAACCTTTACCACTTACAGTGACAATCAGAATGCTGTGACTATACAAGTTTATGAAGGTGAACGCGCTATGACTAAGGATAACAATTTACTTGGTACCTTCAATTTAACCGGTATACCACCAGCACCACGTGGTGTGCCTAAAATTGAGGTAACCTTTGATTTGAATGCTGATGGTATATTAAACGTATCGGCTAAGGATAATAGTACTGGCAAGTCAGAGAAAATTACAATCACAAATGACAAAGGACGTCTGTCAAAGGCTGAAATCGATCGTATGTTATCCGATGCTGAAAAGTATAAAGATGAGGATGAAAAACAAAAACTACGCATACAATCTAGGAACACTCTTGAAGGTTATATATTCAGTTGTAAACAGGTATGAGGAGTGCGACTTAACAAAAGAGAAGCCTTTTAATAATTAAGAATTTTAAAATTTTACAGGCTATTGAAGATGTACCCGAGGGTAAACTTACCGATTCTGATAAGTCCACAGTCCGCGATAAATGCTCTTCCGAAATGTCTTGGTTAGATGCGAATACTTTAGCAGAGAAAGAAGAATTCGATGATCACTTAAAGGACTGTCAACGTGTTTGTGGTCCTGTTATGGCTAAAATGCATGGCTCTGGTGGTAATGGTGATGCAGGCGCAAAACCAAGTCAAGGTGGACGTGGTGGACCTACAGTAGAAGAAGTTGATTAAAAAGTTGAAATTGTAAAATGTTTTAAGTTTTTGACCTTTTGAACTTTTGAACTTTTAGTTTTATCTTTTTTTAATAAATAAATCTATTTTTTTTAAACACATGATGCAACTTTTGTATAATATTTTATAACTTTAAATTGATTTCGCTTGCTTCTAATTAGCAGCTTTATTGTATACAGTAAAATGATTGCTATATTTGATAAGATTAGTTTTCCAAACAGTCAGCATTGAAGACTTACAAATTATAATTATTTTTTAATGAATATTAAGTTTCGGTATTTTTAAATATTTATTGAGCTGAAACAGTTATTAGATACCTATGGGCAATGATACATGACTTATGAGTAATACATTCCTATAACATACATACCATCGTCTAATTCTAATATATCATATGAACATGATAAGTTCTTATAGATAGTAATAACATTTTTTTTAATATAACAATAATAATATTCATATTTTGAAAAAGCAAAAATTATTTAATTTAAATAGTATAGCAATAACAAAGTATCTATTAACAAATAAATTTATAAATTTTTGTAGTTAAATAAGTTTTTAATTAAGCGATTTTCTTAGATCAACCATAAAATTCTCTCAAATATTACTAATAATCTATCATTAATGGTCTTTGGAACTAAACAGAAAAAACTCATTTCATTTAATATTAACTATATAAGTAAAAATATTTTATTTAAAATAAAATATCTATAAACAATAACTACCCTAATTATCTACATATATGTATGTCCAGGAGATTATATTTATTATTTAATTTTAATTACATACTTAAGTGGTTGTTTACTGTATTAGCTAGAAACCTCTAGGGGAACTCTCCGGCAAGCCATTTTTTCTAAATCTGCTGATACTATGTGAAGTAAACAAAATACCTGATATTTCATCAAGAGATTAAGAGGGGCCAAAAACCTAACTTTATTTTCTTATCAATATTATTTTTATTGTTCTACTGATTAATAAAAAAATATATATGCTAGCACATCTATTAATCAATATAATTAAATTTAAATCTGATACGATTAATACATTTCTCAAGCACTAAGCAAACATATTTATTTTTAGACAAGAAATTTTAAATAGAAGCCCATATTGCAAAGTGATAAGAACCTCAAATATTGATAAAGACGGAGCTACAAAAAAAACGGTATTTTAAAGTCGATAGAGAAAGAATCTCTTTTTTATTAATAATTATTAATATTGTATATCGCTGAGTCACAATGGGATACTTCCACTTTATAATTCAGTTTTTTAGTAATTGCACCAAATAAGATGCTCTATTTTTGGAATAAATATGGTACAAGTAGATCTTTCATTATTATTAGGCTAAGACCTTAGTAGGTACTAATTTTTTGTATAAATATTTTAACTCAATTATCTTTATAAATCCATTAGCATGATATGTGTTAGTATTCTGATGGCATGTTTACTTTTTTATCACAGTCTGATGATCCACTGTCTCCTTATGTGAAGGGTGTTAAATAGTTTAGTACCATTTTATATCAATATATTGGTAAGAACATAATACTAATCACATATTACTAAGTGCATTAGTGATATTTATCTAGCTTTAAATAATATTTCAATAAATATATTTAGATTAAACATTTAAATATATCAACTTTATTTAATATTAATGATTAACTAATCAAATGCAGTGAAGAGTGATTTAAACATCTCAAATAGAAATTTTTTATCAATAGTAAGAATGGAATAAGTACAAATTCCATTTATAATAATCTAAAAAAAAACCTAAAACAATAGATACATTGTTTGTAATAAAATATCTAATTGGAAATACGTATATAACTCAGTTTACCTGGAAAGCTTTTAAAATAGTTTTTTTATTTTACAAATCCTAACACAAAGTACTTAATGCTTTCATCCCACTTATAGAAAGTAAGTTCCAATAAGTTATGCGGCTATCATCAGATTAGCATATTTAATAATCTATCTATACATTATATATTCAAGTATACATTAAATAGTCTTTTAAGCCCATATCTCTTTTGTATTATTTAAAAAAAAATGTACTTCATTAAACATATTTAACAATACTATATATGGTACTTTACTTATATAAAAAATTAATAGAAAAATTTTAATTAAGAGATCATAAAAAAGAAACGATCAAAAAAAAGATTTTTCAAACTCTCATCGGACTAAAAAGTTATAAATTATAAATAGTCTAATTTAAGAAAAAAAAAATGTAATGTATATCAACAAAAATGTAATATATATTAAGTTCATCAAGATATTTGTAACACTAAGAGAAATTTATCATAAAGACTATCAAGTTTATAAACCCTTTAATTCTTTGAAAAAATTAATCTTTTGATTTTCATATATTGCCCAGAAATAACCATACACTGCGACCCATAAGATCGATTATGGTTCCTCTATAGAGAATCTCTTTTATTTATCTGGCTGTAGACAAACCTAATAATGAAAGTCGATAAGCATTTCATCTAAAAAACTAGTAATAAATTCTCAGCTCAGATATATTTAGATTATTCCAGATTTGATCTATTTAAACAAACTGATTTGTGTAAATTAGTAACTAAAATGTTTTAAAAATATTGGTGTGGAACACGACACCAATTGTTTATTGAGCTTATAAACACGGTTGCCACTTGAAAATTTTTTTCTGTACCAAAATTGGTTTAAAAAGGTACCATTTCTGTAAAAAAAGTCCAAAATTTTTCTATTGTCTTTTTATAAGAAAATACAATTTATATAAAATGTACAAAAAGTATAAAACAATACAATATCCACAATAAAGTTGGGTCGCCGAAAATGTAACATTTTTTGAACATGAGTACCAGAGTACCAAACGGAAAAAAAGTACCAATTTTGGTACTAAAGTACCATAAGTGGCAACCGTGCTTATGAACGAAAACACATCAGTTAAATATCACTAGTACTCGGTTAAAAAGAAATGGGATTTTGTACAGAAAACTATCAAAACTTTATAAAAAATAAATAACCCTTTATTAAAACTCTCCCAAACAATTAACATACAATGGCAAAATGTTTTTATATAAACTTTTTATTCTAAAGTATATGAGAATTGTAATTCAATATTTTGATTTTTATACTTCAATATTGAAATTAAATGAAATGAAAATTATAGTTTCAAAATAAAAAATTTGTTTCTTAAAGTTTCTATTGATACTAAATTATTTTATTCTGCTAGTTTATCTGATTACAACCCGTTTGTATATAAAAACTAGAGAGCCAAAACTTATTTAAATCTGTATATATACAAAATCGGAATAAAATTTAATTTCTAACCCATAGTAGTATAGTTGAGCTGCGTTAATTTTGAATGAATCTCAGGAACTAAACTAAAAAGAAACAGAATATTGCAACTACAAGATACGTTGCTAGCAGCCTAGAGGCTGCCAGACATGAATGGAATGACTATATTTATATATATATATATTTTTATCATTAATGTAGTATGACTTTTTAATAAGAAAAAAATGTTTGCTTATTTACTGAAATTATCTGAAAGATATAAAGTGAATTTCTGGCTACGTGCTTAGCAGAAATTTTTCATATTTATATTTACTTTGGCTCAACCAAAATTCGGAAAGTGAGTTCCCAATAATTATTGTATATTATAATATATTATTATTATTATTATTTTATAAAATTATTATAATTATTATTTATAAATTATTATTATTATTATAATTATAAATTATTATTATTTTAATTATTATTATTTATAAATTTATCCAAATAAAAATTATACAGTGTGATTTTGGAGTTAAGCCAAGTAGAACATATTTTTTCAAAATTGTAAACCAGTGTAAAAATTTTCTACAATTCAACATTTTGTATTAGTTTTTTTTTTATGGAGTTTTCTGTTAATTTTTCGTGCGAAATTGATGTCAGTACTAGCTTAAACGAAAATGGATAAACAAAAATAACAGAATTTATTTTTTCAAAATTGTAAAGCAGTGTAAAAATTTTCTATCAATTCAACATTTTGTATTACATTTTTTTTACTTGGAGTTTTCTGTTAATTTTTCGTGCGAAATTTATGTCAGTACTAGCTTAAGGCGAAAATAGTGGCATTAAAAAGAAAAAATAGAACATATATTTTCAAAATTGTAAACCAGTGTAAAAATTTTCTATCAATTCAACATTTTGTATTACATTGTTACTACATGGAGTTTTTTGTTAATTTTTCGTGCGAAATTGATGTCAGTACTACCTTGAAGCGAAAATAGTGGCATTAAAAAGAAAAAATAGAACATATATTTTCAAAATTGTAAACCAGTGTAAAAATTTTATAACAATTCAACATTTTGTATTACGTTTTTTTTTACTTGGAGTTTTCTATTAATTTTTCGTGCGAAATTAATGTCAGTACTAGCTTAAAGCGAAAATAGTGGCTTTAAAGCAAAAAAATAGAATTTATTTTTTCTAGTTTGTTAAACAGTGTAATTAACTTTTATGTAATTTAATTAATCTTAGTTAATCATTCAAATTCTTCTTCTTCTTCCTATACGTATTCAAATATTAGAGCTATCACTGTTTGTTGTGGCATTTACTGTTGTATTGTTTATAAGACGAGTAAAAATTTATAGTTTTACAATAGTTCACTCACTGTATAAGAGATGCTGGTCTGTAGATCTCCCACATTTAATTAATTTTTATTCATAAATATACATCTATTGTTTTTTCTAAATTTGCTTAGAGCAGCTTTTTTACTGTGAAGCTCTCCACATCTCATTTTTTTGAAATCAGCAAAATCGATTAAAAAACTATGAGAAGTGAAATCTGGTTTTTGTTATTTTTTAAAGACGCTGATTTGTCGTTATAGCAAAGGTTAATCTATTAAGTTGTGCTCAGCTCAAAGTAATAATACTAAATAAAATTATATGATTACCATATAATCATTATAGTGGCTCATGTTTAAGTGAGCCATTAGTTAGAATAATGTTTTTTTAAATATGTACATGCAGTCCAAGGCAATAATCCAAAAGTAGTGCGACTAACAACTTCCAGTTTGTCGATTGTTGGTGTCGATTTATCAGCAACTTTCTTAATACTTAAACCTGAAATAGTATCTGAAATGAACTGAACTGAGCTGAAATGCACAAGGCGAAGCACAGCACTCATATCTGAAAAGCTTTGTGAAAGTACGAGTAATCGCATTTCGTTCGCAATCCATGAGTGTTAGATTATCTGGAATGCTATTTAGCGTGTTCGCCGATGTCAGTGTGACGGAGCATTATTATTATATGGTATATATATTTTTTTTTGAATTCTTTGTTAGTATTGTTTATAATTATAAAATTTAAATTGACATCGGTGTTTTTATTATAATTCGCCAATAAGAAATATTTTATGAGAATAAACATCATAGCTTCAGTTTGAATTGAACATTGGCGTGAATAAGTACGGCTATAGCAAGCGGAATTAATTTAGAATTTCAATTTCAATTTCAATTTAGAAAAGTGCATTTTGTATACTATATAAATTCGTATGTTTCATTAAATAAATAAATTCCAAAAAAAAAAAATAAAAATGGTTGTGCTTAGTAAGTTATATAGCGAAAGCTTACAAAAGATGTGCTGCAATGAAATTATACACTCGCGCGGTTGTACTGATAATCTAATACATCAGATACCGAAATATATACAGTCTAATATGAAGTATTTTGCCGTATTGACACTTGTAAGTAATTGAAATCGTGATAAGGTACAAGTGTCGATATCTCTATTATAATTCATGTAAAATTTATAAATTTATTATTTGAACAAACAATTACAGTTGCCGCTATTGCTGAAGATAAATAAGTTAAATAGAAAAATTGTGAAAGATACTTTGACTTATTATGCTAATACAGTATTCTCTGGATTTCAATTAGCTGTCTTTATTAATATACTAATTTGCGCATTTCGGTTAGTTAATCTATATTGTTTACTTTTTATACGAATATATTGTAAATGTATGCGAATATTTAATTATTGCAGAAGACGTCCAGAACTCTTTGGACGTTATAATATAATGTTTCTACCAGTATTTATTAGTGGATTAGCTATACATTTTTTTTGGGTTGCACCAAGAGTAAAGCAATTATTTGGAGCCAGCATTTTGCAAGTGGTAAGTAAGTAAGAATTTAAACTGATCTATACATAAGATATAAGAATCGGATTATACATGAAATCTATAGTTTTAGATATAAACTATTAAGTTATAATTGGATAAACATAAGACATAAAGATCAGATTTCACAAGAAATCTAAATTTTTAGATATAATAACTATTAATTATTAGAATCTATTAACTATTAGATAACTATTAAGTTCTAATTGAATAAACGGCTACGAACAGTCAATAAGTCAATAATATATAATAATATTTTTGTAGCGAGTAACAAAAATAATAATTTTATTGTGACAATTTACTACTGTTTAAAATGGTTATATATATATAGAAGTATTATGTTAAGAATTTATTGTCTTTCGTCAAAACAGACGTTAAAAATCAATATAATAAAATAATAATTTAAAAACTAAATTAGAACGACAAATAAAATAAATAACAAGTTGAATATAACTTAATCGATCCATACTTTTAAATTAAACAAAATAGAATAAAAAGTACCTAGGGAACGTTAGGTTACGTTGGAGTGACGGCCTTGTACACCAAAGTCTACTTCAGCTCAAATAACGGCACGTTGTTATGCCATAATCTATGGAAACCAGAAGGCACCTTAAGAGAACGATAGTGGTCAACAACCAAATACCACTAAAAGTCACGACTTCTTCATTTAAGTAAAACTGTAACAATATTGAGAAGTAATATTGAGAAGTCAATATACTTGGGAAGGTTTCTAATTTTAAAGGATAACAGCTCTGTATGGTCGGTAATAATAGGGATTGCAAAGACTTTTAATCGTCTATTGGCCAAAGATAAGCACTGACGAAAAAGTGAAACATGGATTCTTTTTCCACTTCAAAGCTACAAATATGACAAAATCATTAAACGGTAGACCTAGTCTCATATATAGTGACCAACACTACACCGGTAATGTAGTGTTGAGCATGTTCCGCTTTGCTTCCAGAATTTTTAAGCTATAATCTCATACTTTTGTTTAGTTGCCACCTTGAGTGTTGCAAGTGATTAGATTTATCTAACATTCTGATGAAAAAATAAGAAAAGCTTAGTTAAAAAACTAATTATTTTTTAAAACTTTTTATCTGAATAGATTCAAATAAAATGTTAACAGCACTGTTCAAGTCTCAAAGTGTCCATTCAACTATTTTTAGCAGCAAATCGTTGATTTCCTTAATGTGTTGTTTTTCACTTGATGTTCATGGTCAATCTCGAAAGTGTTTATACTACTAATAATCAACTTTTCGTAACATAAAAGGATGACAAAACTTTCGCAATAGTTTGGGATGAAGAATATGTGGTAGTATAGGGTAGATATAGGAAAAGGGTTGAAAATTGAATCTTATCTTGATTCAAGTGAAGAAATTCTGACACCAAATTTGCCATATTTGGTTATATTCAAATACTTTTAATACTTAGTGTAGGTATAACATATACTACATATATATTGTATAAGTATTGATAGATTGATACTAATTGATTTCAATTTTACTTTTACTTTCAATTTTATTTCTGGTCATGCCCATAAACGAAATGCAGAGAATCAAATCATTAGCGCCTAATTTTCAAATTTTTAATTTACATTGAAAATAACTATACCACATTTTACGTGATCATGACCGATTGTAGATGGATGGAAAAAGTCCCACTGGTCATAGATATAATAGATGAACAATTAAACTTTATTGATTTAAAGTTAAGTACTATTATTAATGAGATATCAAAAAAAATTTAAAGCAATTAAATTTAAATTTACTAATAATGCTTGTCCAAAAATTTTGCAATGTTTTTGGACAAGGCTACATCTAGTCTAAAGTATTTTGGTTCATTTTGTTGATGTCTTATATATTATCGAGAAACAGTTTATTATTATTTTCAGATTTAATAGGTCAAAATACAGTAGTAGTTACTAATTTAGTCCTGCGCAAAATTAGTTAATCTTGAAGAATGAATAATCTTTTTAGAATTAGAAATGTATTTATATTACTAGTACCTAGAACACATAAGGCTAGCATAATTGAAATAATTATTTTGGTGTAAGGTTTGCTATTTTGGAAAACTTCCTTTTGATTTAACGGAATATATATATTATTGTCATTAATCACTTTTAAAGGAAACATCAACTATTTTATAAAATTTTGGACTGATAAAGCTTTTAAGTAACGGATAATAGTTAAATCATGTACGTAGCCTCCAAAGCATCGTCTATAAACGTAAGCTTTGATTAGATAGACTAGACAATTGATACCCAGGGGAAACATTAAAAAAACAATAAATTCTTGAAGTTGCACTCCAAACAACATAAGTAACTGATTCGAAAGGTAAACTACAAAAAGATTAAAAAGAGGCAGTCTTTCTTAGCAGAGCTAATTTTACTAATTTTGATGACTCCCTCGTTAACTATAGATATATGGTATATGAATCATTATCAATAAACTGAACTGGCATTCGTTTTAAAGTGGACAATTTAATTAATAAATGATCTTCATAGACTTAAAGGCTCGCTAATAAACATAGCATAAGATTAAATTTGATAACTGATAACTGATCCAGGTCTCTTGCAATGGCAAAGAGACACCGAACTCTTGACAAAAGGACCTCATTCATAAAAATAAATATAGACTTCAAAAACATTACAAGGAGGCATTATTCCTTATCAGAACAGAGTTAAGGTTGTCAAGAGGTAGCCTATAACATTTGGCTGTCATACACAACAAGATAACTCTGTCTAAAAATTGATAAACTGTCCAGTAACGCTCTTTATAGTTGCCCGAGTTTTCCCTGACGCAAAACTATTATACAAGTGCGAGAATTTTAAATCCACTTTGTAAATTTTTGATCCACTTTATAAATAGAAACTTCCATTCAATTAGGGTCAATTTTAGAATAAAGGCTGTTTAAAAATCATTTTATTCTGCTATAATGGATTCCAAAATTGCTAATGTGTACGACTTCAGAGAATATATGCCATAACAAGACTTTCTGGAATTTATTTTAATTTTCTAGGTTTTGAAATTAAAAAACTTCTGAATTAACCTTAAATTTTTTTTGAATTAGTTTCGTAGCTTGGAATTATAATCGGAATTAATCGGAATTATAAATGTAATCGTATCGTAATGCTCAAAAATCATGGACTAATAATAAATAAAGTTTCTCATATATAACGATTAAAGTATTAACAAAATACGGAATCAGTTTTAAATAAATTTTATTACAATTCCAATATAAATTATACTCGCTCATTATATTATATATCACTTTACGTCGCTAAAAACTTTTGACACTTTATATATTACATACTCATATATGTCATATATATGGTGTACGAAATATGTTATTGTCACTCTATTTGAATAATTAATTGTAATTTATTAACTAATTTCGAATGCAATAAATACTTTGTAAACGTGAATTAATTAGAATAAATTTTATTTAACGTGTACTCCTATGTGCTAATTATCACTATAAATACCCCACAATCGAATAATTATTTTTTGAAGATAACTTTCGTTATTAATTTTAAGTAATTTTAACAAATAATAAAAAACTTAAAAATATAATAATATTCAGTGGATTAAATAAAATTGTGTCAATTGTTTCTGCACTGTATTATCTGTAGCTTATGGTATTCATAGGGGATCTAACCCCTACTTCTCCACTCTAAGTTTATTGGATAATTAAGTAAAAATATGTTTGGGTTCGACTTTTCACTAAGAATAATAAATCATTAAACAATGTATAGATATTATAATATATATAATTTATAAAATATCACATTAACTTTCTGCTAAAAATAGCAATATATGGAAACTTCTGTACTACTATTGCAAATAATATAGGTTATTTTATTTTACAATTGTAATTGAAACATCAAAGGTCTACTAATCTTTATTATAATTAGCTCAAATACTTAACAAAGAAATTACAACTATTCTATAGCTTGTAAAGTCGGAGGCATAAAATAAATATATATATAACATATATATTGGAAATTTTATACATAATAGGCTTCCACAATAAAACAGAATGAGAAAAATATTTCCAAGAGCTTCGTAACCCATACTTAAATTTTTAATATTTTATTTATAACTTTTTTATTTCGCCGAGATTTCCCAACATATAACATATTACTCTGTCATAGTGTATGATATATAAGTATTATATATAGTATGATATATTTTAATACTTACATATATATAATGTCTATAATTTTTTGCAAATCAAAATATATAATTAGATTTAATATTCTTTGGCTTTTGTTTAAAGATAATCCAATTTTCAATTTTTATAACAGATAATAAGAGTTCTTCATATATATGCAGTTACTATTAAATTTATGAGAGTCTTCTAATGGAAACTAATGACAGTTTTTAAAATAAAGTATAATTTTTAAACATATAAAACTTAAGTTTTAATTTATGAGACCCTGCAGATTATAATTTATGTGTGTCAAACTAATAAAGTTTCATAATTTATGTGAGCTATTATCTAATCAAGCTCTATTCTAAGTCTTAATAAAGAGCCATCTTTATCTATATGGGTTTCAGGAATTTCTTGTATTGCAATTTACCGGTAAAAAACAGTGAGCGTTCTAATAAAAAACTAACTTCTTACAAAAAATATAAAAATAAGAATATATATAACATGTGCTAATACTCGTAATTGCGATAGTGATATATGAATGAAAACACCACAATTTACTCTAATCTCTAAAGAAACTGTGACTGCTATACATATAATATCGTATATGGTATATGGAATATAAAAGCATTTTAAGTATTATGTGTTGTTACAGAACTACGTGGAACAACAGAGTGGGGCAAACGTCGAAAGAAATAGGTGGCTGAAGTAGTAACAGATATAGAAAATATCATATTGCATAGTTGTAGAACTAAATCCAGAGATAAGGAAAGCTAAATGGAAACATGATTAGGTGCTCTGAGATTATGATTATTTCAGAATTGTTTTTTATTATCGTAGTCATTGTTTTAATGCATATTAAATTTATTATAAGAAAAAAAATAATATTCCATTTGAATAGCTAATTACGTATGTATGTAAAACGATCCAATGTGTTTATGTTTATGAGATGGCTAAGGATGAATTCAGACAATTGGTATTTATCACAAAATATTCCCCACTTAATAAGAATACATTGTTATTGTGATATATTATAGATAATAATGATTATCTATCTATTATTTTTTGTCTTACAAAATGTCTACTTTATTAAAATAGATCAAATAATATATCATAATTATGTTAATTCTCCCATTTTTTAGTTGTTATTTTATAATTTTTCATTCATTAATTAATTATACAATATGTGCTATAAAAACTAGTTTTACTTTATATGTACTTAAGATTCAAAAACGTTGAAAATTAATTACCATTATTAAATTACATTTTTATCTATTCATGCAAAAGCCATGTATAGTAATTAAATAATTTTATTTAATTGCTCTAAAGTATTTTTTTTGAGAATAAAGAGTACTAAAATTTAAAGAAGTATTATTCAGCACTCTCTTATTATATATATTTTTATTATTTTCACCTTAACAGAAAACTTTTACTAGTAAGACGATCAGATTACGAGAATTATAAAAGCTTTGAAAAGCTAATGAATGATCATGATCAGCTAATGAAGAATTAATAAATTAGAAGTTTACATGTAGTGGATAATAATACTGGGTAGCAAGATTTTTGCACTAAATATAAAGATATAATGTAATTTGGGTCAATGAAGACGTATTCATGGGAATAAAAAAAGGTTATACATTATATATATATATACTTTGCATATTTGTAATTTTTTTTGGAAAGACTATATGTGATTGTTATACCTTTAGATCACTTCTAAAGAAATGATCTGCCTGAAATATTTTTAATAAACCGCACTTTAAGATATTTGCTCTACAAGTATAAAACCAACTATGAAAATGAATGTTTTCATGCGTGTTGATATATTAGCCCCGCTTCAAAACCAAGTCAGGAGAAACTATTGTTGTAAAGATAAAATCTGTGGTTTTTTTAATAGTATATACCTGTTACTATTTCTGCATACCGAACTGTAACTGAGCCAGCAGTTCTAGTGATTAGGGGTATCATCTCTATCGATCTCCAGGCACATGAACGGAGAAAACGCTGGAAACAGAGATCGACAAACAATTCAACAGGCACTCAAGATATAAGAAAACAAACTTTTCAGATCTGGCAAAGCTAATACCAAATGTAAAGTCGTGGACTGAAAGAAATTTCGGTGAGATTGAGTATTATGTCACACAGTTCCTATCTGGTCATTGATATTTTTGAAAATATCTATACAGAATGCAATAAGCAGAGCAGCCCAACTGTATATACTGCGGATCCGTCGAGGACATATATTTTCTCCAAATGCGAAAGATGACATGGAGAAAAAACACTACTTACAGAATATATAGGTCACTTTACAGTCGAAAATATCGTTGAAAAAATGATAGAACGAACAGAAAATTGAAACAAAATCACAGAATTCTTTGGAAATGTGCTAAGGGAAAAGAAGAAAGATTTGGACGCAAACTAATCTAAAACGAAGAGCAATCTGATGACATTCCCATTCGGATCAGGAGTGAGAGCCGGAACACACATTCTGAGATTGAAAACAAATACACTGCAACGGTATCACACCCAGATGAAGGGAAAGATAAATCATCTGAAATAGTAACGGGGCCTAGACGTAGTTCACACCGATGGAAGTCTTAAATGACTAATAGGGACCCTACCTCGAAGTAATACCAACGTAGTCCCGGGGTAGACAAAGGTCTCTAGGAATTAGGAGGAATGGTTTAGTCCGTGCGAGTCGGACACTCACGTTCCGGGGCACTGGATTGTGGTTAGTGCGTAGGCATTCTACTCTTCTTTGCCGCAAAAAAAAAAAAATATACATGTTACTATAACTACATACTGTATAGAGCATAGGGCGTCAGCAAAACTTCTTCAGCAACAAACGCAATTTCGTCGTTCAACTCGAAGATCTTAAGTACATCAAGTGAGATTAGTTCAACATTTGTCAAACGGGGCAGGTCATGCACTACGTGTAAACGCTTCTAACTGTTAGTTACTGTCTTCCTGATGATATTTGTTTTAGTAATTTTAAAGGAATATTCAAAACTTTGAAAATCGAAGTCGGTAATAGAGTAAAAGTGCAAAGTGACATAACATAATGCATTTATAGTACATGTATTTTGTTGTTGATACTTCACAATATTACCAGCTTACTGTATTACCGAGCTCGTTACTTGAAATCGTGAATATCCGACCAGACATCTACTATATGTGAATACCCCTAGAATTTGTTATAGTAAGAACCCGGAAGATTTGAATAGTACGACTGAGAAATCTAAATAAATGAATAAACGTAATTTTTTCTAAAGATCAATTAAAATAAAGTATATTAATTAACTCATAAGGTGTTATATTATAATTATTCACACTAGAGATTAGAGTTATGTATACAAAAAGTCAAAGGTGATTTTTAAACGGGAAGAATCAGAGATAAATCCGCGAGATGACAAAAAAACCATTAATCTTAATAATATAATTATTATTTTTAATTTGAATTAAAAGTTAATTATATAATTAAATATTCTATATGATTAATTTTTAATAACAGTAATTATTATGATAACTGTTTTTTTACTTTTAAATAACAAATAAATTAATATAATAATTATATTTATTTTTTCTTTTTTTTATTTAAAGACTATTGATTCAGTATGTTTGAGACGTGAAAATGTTATTACCCGAGCCATTGCAAATTCTAAAGGAGTTAGAACATTAATATTTATGTTTTGTAGTGCGATTATTCTCCATGCCAAACAGAAAAAACTTTGTAAAACATTTTGGATCGTAACGCCAAATGAACAACCCATAAAGGAATCATCACCCGAGATCGAAAATAGCAATATACAGATTTTCGAGAACGAAAATAATAATATACCGAATTCACTATGTAATCACAAAACCAGCTGTAGGGCACATGTTTTAACGGGTTTGCGAAATTATCTTACAATTGGTCTTTCACTCGATACCATAAAAATGGTGATGAGCAGAATTCCAAAAGATGTACCTTATAATACATTTATTTCAAAACTTTGGGCTAAATTAAAGAACTATCAATTTAATACTACTGCATTGTTAGCTGCATCTGTAGGAATATACAGGGTAAGTTGAATAACCGTTAAGATCAATATAATATATTGAAATGAATATAATTTTAAGTCTTTTAAAGAACCATATATCTCTGAATTAATAGTTTAGTAGATTATATATTAATGTTAAAGATAAAAAAATAATCACTTAAAAAAATGATATAATCACTACCTCTTTGATAATGATCTCGAATGGAATAATAAAGAAATTGAAAAAGAAGTATATTTCTTAAAAAATTACGTTTGGGTAATATTTTCTAAATAACCCGAAGTAGTAGTTTCAAATTTCAGAATCAAAACCCATTTCTATTTCTATTTTTTTTTATCACTAATTACTTATTTATGACAGATTTTTTTTAAACATAAAAATTTCGATTCAGGGTAATCATAGGAGATCCGTTAAGAGAAGTACTTATCTCTACTTTCTTTAGCTTGCCAATAACAAATGGAAGGCACTTAGGGCATGTGCAACTTCAGATATATTCAGGGTAATCACAAGAGAACCGTTAAGAGAAGTACTTATCTCTACTTACTTCAGCTTGTCAATAACAAATGTAAGGCACTTAGGACCTGTACAACTTCAGATATATTCAGGGTAATCATAGGAGAACCGTTAAGAGAAGTACTTATCTCTACTTTCTTCAGCTTGCCAATAACAATGGAAGACACTTAAGGCATGTGCAACTTCCCAGTTAACTTGACTCGCCTACAATAAAACTACATCTTGTAAACTTATCAAAAGGGATTTTGTGATTTGATAAATTGTACATTCCTAATAATACTTACACCTAAAGTTGTGGAAACCTGCAGAACAAAGAAACCATTAAATACTTTCTCTGTGAATGCCCGGCTTTGACGTCCAGAAGAAGTATATTTTTAGGGAGGTATTTGTTTGACAGCTTATCGGACTGTTCATCAGTAAGGACGAAAGACCTACTAAATTATCTAAATTTGGCTGTCTCGATTTGATCTGTAGTCTACTATTTAAGCAATCAACACACCCTTGCCTAAAGATATTACACCATTCCACCATAAGTCAAAACTAAACTTATTTTCTAATTATTTTTCTTATTTTTATTTATTTTCTCTAATCATACGTCTATTGCAAAAACATATATTCCCGAAACCACATATTCTTAGTACAGGTTCGTAAAATAAAAATTAATTATTAAAGTAAGTTGAAATAGTAAATATATAAGGCTCTAATCCTATATTCATAGTCAGACTTATCGAAGTTCTCAAGTACCTTTTCATATGAATAGCAGATCTTTTTCGAGTTATATACAATAGTCTAAATATAACATAACAGAGAAGATTCAATAAATAAATACAATGTATAAAACAATACGATGATATGACAAACAGCGAATTAGCGCCATCTATTTTATGATCTCTACACCATATACAATTTTAATATTTTTTAAAATTTTTCTTTTCTATTTTTAGCTGGTCAATTGCCACTTGAATCATCTGTATCCCCTCAAAAAATACTTAACAATAAATCATCTAGTCGCTAGTTTTCTATGTGGTTCTGCTTACGTGTTTCTACCAAAACTTTCATTACTAAGTTATGGTTTAGTAATATGTATTGAACTATTTTGGGAACAATTTAAAAGAAAAAATTATAAAGAACTACCAAAGAATATAGCAGAGAATAATATAGTAAAATTTGTAAATAAATCAACTTTAGGCTTATTGTTATTTCCACCAGCCGTTGCCTACCTGGTACACACCTATGTATATCGTAAGCACTTCGTTAGTGCTTTGGGTGAAGAGATCATAAATGGTCTAACACACGGCTAGTAAGTTCTCTTCTTTTTACATATTATTGATTATATATATTAATGCTTGTTCTTCTGATTGCAGTGGAAAGCAAATAAGCTTTAACATTTCCCGCGCGGAACAACTTATGGAGGCTGCATTAAAATAATTTTTTACCACCTATAGTAATACAATATTAATTTAATTTATTTTTTACAATTGGGGCTTTTGAAAAGGAATTTGAAGTAATTTAATTATTTATGTTTTGATAATTAAATTTTATTATTAGATTATTAAGATAAGTATTTGAAAGTATTGCCTTTCTGTTAAAGAATTTATAATTGAATGTGAAATGTAATGGAAACTATGAATGTTTAGCATGAAATTAATTTTTAATAAATTTTTTATACATAAATCCAAATAATTCTATTATACTATGTTATTAACTAAAAATCGTGGATCTTGCATTGAAAATTTTGTTGAAACTATAAACAATAAGATAATCTTAATACTTCATTGCTTCTTTTAATCTCTTTTAATCCCACAAGCTATATAAGATCGTAATAAGTCACTTCCAGTGAACCCCGTCACATGCCAATCGATTAACTTCACTCCAACTATTCCCATAAAATCGAAATTCTACTTTATCAAGTCTCTTCCATGGATTGTTTGTGTACCTGCCCCAATCGTTTTATTATAGATCTACCATAAAGCCATAGTTCTACTCCGATTTACCAATTTCTTGTGTTGCACGGAATTGGTAAATCGTATTGTTGTTGTTATAACCCGCTGGAACCTGTAAGCAGATTACATGAAAGGATAACATGATGGATGGGGAAAGAGGATGGGATGGACACATAAGTCTTCCGCGATCTCGGTGGTTATAATCAAAAAATTTTTAATAATATCTTCAGCAGACCTACCTATTGTGTTGTACGGAAAGTAATTTCGTTTATATCTAATGGAATAGAATATAATTTAGTCACTTATATTGCCGGATCTTTACCAAATAATGATTATTAATAGTATTCGGTTAGAGAGCTTGTAGAATGCACGAAATATTGTGACAGTTAAAACCTTTGGATGTTGAGTGTTGCTGTTAGTTAAATTAAAATTTTATAAAAGTCGTACTGCTTTAGCTATTGATACAATAGATCAATATATATTATTAAGAATTGTGAAGACTTAATGAGATTTTACAAGTCTGTTTTATGAAGTCTGTTTTATGAAAGATAGTTAGCTACTTATAAACAAAGAATGGGGACATCTTTGATATATGTGTTTCAAAGTTCGAAATTTGTTGAGGTTAAGATTTAAGACTTGATTTCATTAATTTTAATTTTGGCAATATTGATTACGACAGGCTCTGTTTACATCTCAATTGTCTTTAAAGATTCCTGAGTCATTAGACAGATGGGACTTATATAATACAAAGTTTGCTACTTAAGTCAAATGAGATGTCTAAACCTTTGGGAATTGCTTCTGACATAATATCACTAGCAATATTTAGTAAAACCGGAGAGAGTATAGAGTCTTAACGTAATTAAGCATTTAGAAATACTTAGAAATATTTTAGCGCTCAAATGGTATCCAAATGACGTCAAGAACTATGTAAATAGCTCGCTGAAACTATGACTAGGTTGTTGCGTATAAACTTCAGAAACCTTTTAGTACTATTTAGTACTTCAGAAAACTTAACTATATTATTGATTGAATTAGAAATGTATCTGTATATTAAATATATTGTCCATATATATTTAATGTATCATTGTGTCATCAAGTAGTAGTGTATAAATATATCGCTGGAACCCTGAAGAGGTTTTCAAATATAAACGTTGTACTGGATAATAGCTAACATTACAATCAAACTCTCGTGTGAATCCAGTATTAGTAAAAAGTTAGCTGTATTATTGATTAAATCAGTAATGTATCAGTACTTCAAATATATTTTATGAAGATTCATCATCGATTTAAGTAGAAATTCGATCGTCATTTTTGTTCTCAACTTCTAGCATGAAATCAACGAGAACTGAAAATGAAAAAACTTATTGGACGTCTACACTGGCAATACTTTAGCAAGTTCCTATGTATGTTCGAATGTTAATACGTATCTTTTTCAAAAAAATGAGAGTGTGTGCTAACATATAATCGTGTCAAAGTCTAGCCAGTGTAAACGCAAGGCTATTTCTTTCATTGCAGTTCCCGAATAAATTTATTTATTTAATATTAAAAATGGTTTTATTAATTTGAGCAATGAAATTATAATCGATGTATATATATGTAGTTTTGGTAAAATAAAAAAAACACATTTTTTACAATAAGAGTATATTTTTTTAAGTAAGTATGTGGTCACATACATGTAAAGATAATTTTACATATAGACTAATAGTAAAAAATAATTTAGGTACGTATAAATGCTTTCATTTGATTTTAAAAATTGCTCATAAACATTTAGATTTGCATATCAATTCTAGTTCGAAGTCAAATAGTTCGGATATTTTAATTCGTTTGCTATTCTTACCACGTAAATTATTATATTATATATGTTAGTTCAACCTATCGGTAACACTAATATATATACCAAAATCAATTTTCAGTTCGGTTTCAGTCTTTATTTTATAAACAACCTCTAAACGCCATTTTAAAACGGAACCCGATTTCTAATAATTACAAACGGAGTATAATAATTAAGTTATAATTTTTATAATAAACCAAACGGGACCTATTTCAATATGGTAGCACCAAGTAAAATATTTTATCCGCCTTTAAATCGGTTACATTGTTCACAAGTTTTTCTACATCCTGGTGAATCGTGTTTAGGTTTTCAGCTCCGTAATAATTTTATAAAATCATCTTCGATTTATTTCCTGCCTATACTTATAGTAAGTTTTTAATATATATAAAATAATGTTATAGACATATTAGCAAAACACGTTTCATGTTAAAAAAAACTAAATTAGTTCTATAACAGGCGCCCATTTTTTTGAAAAGGAATAAACTAACTAAAAAAGCATTTTTGGATATTGTGAAAAACTATAAACTCGCAGTTATTACTTCAGTTGGCATTATAAAAGCGTCCATGGCTTTCGAGTGTATTTTGCGGTAAGTAGAAATTAATCAATAAAAAAAACATAGACGGATATGAATAGTAAAAAAAAGATAAGGACTAAAATTATTAAAATAAATTAAATAAATTTTTGTCTTTGTCTTTTCTTTTCTATTCAAACCCGTCTAACTTTTAAATAGTTTCTTTTCGTCATAAACTCGCGTTACTATCGGCAAGAAAAAATTAACATTAAAAAAAAATAAAGAACTTCGACAACAACAATAAATCTTCTACAACAACAATAAATCTTCTACAACAACAACAAATGCTAGTCGCATTCAGAAACTATCAAAACGGAAAACTTTTAATTCACTTAAAGAGATATTGGAATTAGTCATCCGACTTCTAATCATTTTGGAAGTCCCAAACAGTGAATTTCTGTTTTGTTAAGGGCTCATAAGCGTAGAACTATGATCTATGACAGCCTACAAGTATTTCTGTCGAGTTCTCAAGAGAGCCGGGCAATTACACAGCAGATGCTCTAGGATTTCCTTTGCATCCGACTCGTTGCATTTCCTACAAGCATCGCTGTGAATTAGGTTTATTTTGTGGGCATGTGATACGACTAGACAGTGACCTGTTAATACACCAATTAATGTTCTATAGTTCTTTCGCAATTTTTAAAGACTGTGTAGATTTTTTATCTTTATCACACCCCAACCAAAATGGGAAAGAGTATATTTAAATCATGTTTGTGAATAAAATGTTTAAATAAAAATTTTACAGTTTTATTTATGTTATCTCCATAATTACTTATTTTATTATTTTTAGAAATGTCCTTGGTAAATATACTAAGTACACAACATTTTTTTTACCACTGTTTTTGGGCACACAATTACTTTGGCTATGTCCGGATCAGATGGTGAAATTCTATGCAATAGGAATGTCTCAAGCGGTAAGAGTTAATAATTTCAAAAAATATATTTTATAATACTTATAAATTAAATATACGTGGTATTTATGTATATACTTTATAATATTTTCAGGCATTAGAAACTTTTCTGAATATCAAGACAAATCCATTAAATAATTTGTTGAAAAATAATTTTACGCGAATTTTGTTATTTATGATTAATAGTGCAATTATATTACATCTCAAACAAAATGGTACTGATAAGGAATTTTGGTTCATTAAGCCTGAAAAAGAGGACGCCACCTATAAAAGTGATAAAGAATTTCTAAGCACTCTGCTTAAAGATATGAAAAAATACCTAATCACTGGAATAACACTGGACTTATTACGAATTATTTTAAAAAATTTGAAAATTTTTAAATCGAATACATCCTTAATTGACAAAATAAAAATGTTGAAATTTAATATGACTGGATACTTTCTGAGTTATTTTGGACTCTACAAAGTAATCGCATAGCCATTTGACAATGAATATTATAAATTAATTTTTATATATTTAAATAGGTAATTAATTACTTACTGCAAAAATACACTAATCCATCGCAATTAAATAAAAATAAGGCACATATCCTAGCTGCCTTCATAGGTGGGATCTCTTTTATCTGCATTAAGAAGAATATTATTCTTGTGTTATCAATGATTACTGTTATACGCTTAGCGTACCACAAACTCTGTTCTCTGGACGTCAAAACTGAAGAAAATTATGGGAAGTGGCTAAAATATGCTAAACGAATACCTTTTGGAAAATTAGTCACTCCAATCTGTAATGCATATGCGATTCATATGTATATGGTTAATAACGAAGCAACCAGTAGTTTCACCAAAAGTTATTTAAATATCACAATGGAATATTTGTAAGTATTATTTTTATTAAATAACCTGGAATCCAATATTAATATTATTATTTCAGGCCTCAAAAAATTTATAATTATATTTTAAGAAATAGCTCTAAAGCCTTACTGGAAATGGGAAGTACAACACCTATAAGAATAATTAAATAATAATAGTGCTAAAGTGTATCATATTAGTTCTGTTCCACCAGCTACTCATAGTAAAACTCGAGTAAAACACAAGTAAAGTACAAACTGAGAGCGTAACACAAAAAAAGTGCCAAATCACGCTTTTTACACAGATTTTCTTGGAACAGCTTTAAAATTTAAATTCAAACCAAAACAGCTGATTCACACATCACAAAAATTTTACTTGAAATGTACGAGTTAAGTCTGTGTAGCATTTTCAAATTGCGACACAGATGTTACGCTCTCTCAGATGCTCTCATTTACTTGAAAATTTGTGGTGGAACGCACTTGTGTAACAGACCTATTATCAGAATAATATTTAAAAATATAAATTTAAAAATAAATGCTTTTGTGATTTTTCTTTATCAGAAATCTTAACCGCATTGATCAAAGAAAATATTTGACGGATTTTTATGTTGAATATACTTTCGATTGCATAAAAAAGAGTACTTCCCCCTTAGCAACTTAAATCTTAATACAAATAAAAAAAATAATACTAAACTCTCTAGAACAAGTTATTGTTCAGAATTTAGATAATTTTTCAATTGGCGAGGTATAGAATTGTGACTCCATTTAAAGTCACATCAAACTACAAAACATTACAGTACATTCTCGTCCTTAGCTATTACAACACAGTATAAGTTAGTGTATCATGATAGAGCTTTTACGGATCGTGGTTAATAAGAATGCGATAACCATCATAGTTCGCATCTAACAAAGAACTTGTTTCTCGATAACAAGTGCTGCTTCATCATTCTGTAATGTCATTAATTATTATGCACCATATCTAAGAACAGGTAGGATGAGCGACCTATGGAGGGTAAGAGAAAATTAAAGCTTTATACACAACTACATACTGATTCTATAATATTAACTGTTGTTGTTGCTGTCGTAATTTTTTCTTTCAGAGTAGCAAAACATGCTCGCAACTTACGAAAGAAAACGTGTGAAACAACAACAATGCTCTTAAAATCCTCAGAGTTGAGTTTTACGCGTAAAAGAAAGACTAAAGTTTTAGTGCGACCGTATTCAAAAATCAGTCTATTATGAATGTTCACTGAAAATATGTTTCAAAATGCATGTCGTTCGTATCATATTATATTGTAGACAACACAACACAAAACATATGTCAAAGAAAAGCATTCAACATATTTTAAAAGTGCTGCCAATTTCTTTCAACCAGACTTATTGTTTTTTTTCCTACTATGAAAGAAAAAATTACGGCTATAATTACTCGAATACCGAGAGTTCTTCCAAAACAATTGTCAAACTTATAATTAATGACCTGTTCCAGCGTTTTACATGTGATAAGCTTACTCATTACTTCACAAAATATTCGCTTTGTGAAGTTTCCGCTTACAAACGAAAACTATCCGGAAACTACACAGTGTGGTTTGAAAGCTATTCGATTAACTGTCAGTTAATTGAATATTGTCTATTTATTTACTTAAATTAATAATGTGGTGGAATACGAACGGTTACCAACAAATACTATACTAGTTCTTTTTTTTTACTGTTATATTCCTTGATGCCAATATACTATCCAATCCACAATTTTCACCCACTTACTTTTCTTACACTTACTTACTTACTTACTTATATTATTAACAAAGTGCACTAGAATTTTATCAAACACTTATATTTGTATATATATATAAAAATTATTTGTATTATTAAATTAATTTTATTTTTTCTTTACCAATCATTTCCGTATATTCTGAAATTCAAAAAAAAGAAAAACCGAAACGTCAAATTTCAACTAATTGCCATTTGCCGTATACACTGAACATACCGCGCAACAACTGATTTATTTTTAATTCGCCCAGTTTTTATTTTTCTGTTACATATGCGTTTGACAGAGCCGAATAATAAAACATTTTTTCAGGATTTAAAAATACGTAGAAATATAATAATGGGTAGATTCAGAAGATTTATGAATAAAAATGCCATAGCGGTGGTTATGATACCAAGTATTATTTTACTTCATTATGGTTGGAGCGTGATGCAGAACAACCGGTCATTGGTGTCGGAGGATGAACAGATAGATCTTCCAGTTGTGACGGTAATTAGAAATATTATATTATGTAAATTATATTATGAAATTAATTTTTAAATGAGACTATATGTTAATATTAAACAATTGTGAGTATTCTTTTTTGGTATGGCGAAAGGAAGCTAAACACATTTCTGTAAACTGGCGGTTTCATATTTGAAAGGAAGGCTTATTACATGTTACGCATCTTTAATTGGAATGAAAATTATCTTTGACAAAACATGGAATCTTAAATTAATTAAAGGTCTAATTATAAAACTGACTCTTTGTCAATGTTTATATAACGAATTTTATAATAATTTCATTATACGCAAAAAACTATTCAATCTGTTAAAGATTGTTTTCATGGTTCCTAATTATATAGGAAAATTTTCTAATATTTATTATTTTCTTTTAATATTTATTAATTCACTTGTTGAAGAAAACGATGAAATAGTAGTGACAAATAATAATTAAGTTTTGTAATCAGATAAGTTATTAAAGGCTCACGAAGGTAAAGGCTTCCACCTAAATGTGATAAGTCAGTGAGGAGGGCATTGACATATGTATGTATAAGCAAATAAAACCGGATACCCGATTTGATCTACTTTTCTAAAAGGATATGATTATTTGAATAATTTATTTGTTAGTTTTATAAAAGTATGTTTTGAATTTCGTCCAACTCTATTACCCACATTAAGTCTACGTCCATGGGTTTAAGTGTATACTTTCATACATTTCTACTAGTGTCTTTGGCTGGAAATCTGAAACATTTGCCCGAATAACCGAAATTTGAACTACGCCTAGCACCTTTCATGAGTAAAGTTTTTTCATTCAACTTAGGATAAAGCCACGTGTTAAGCATTAACTTGTCACAAACTATACCATATATTCTTTTCTATACCTGTCGTTTTAGTTGTATTGTTGTTGTAGCCCGCTGGGACCGGAAAAGACAACATGGAAGGTTTAGAAGACGAATACATGGGTTAGGATGTAGATTATAAGATAGTATTGTGGTAGGAAAGGGAGAAATAGAGGAGGAGTGGATATAGAGTGTGTGGGATTTCAATTATAATCAACTTGGGTTCGTTTTATTGCTAAAATCGACAAAATATTTATCTAAGTACATAATTTATTCAAATATAAAAATTAAAATTGTATCACCCAAAAACCAAGTTAATTTTAATATTCAATAAAACCCTATATACCCATTTGATAGAATCTCACCTCTCTGATTTGATATCTACCAATATTTATCTATTGTATTAAAATATTTTTATTTAATGTTCTTGTATATTCTGAAATATTATATTTGAAATTTTATATTTTTTAGTACAAAAATAATTTATTTAAAAATATAAATATTTCAGTTTGCGAAATACTGCTGGAAGCGTATAACGGATTTACAACCCAATATTGTCAGCAAACAGGTTGAAAATAAGCCCATCAACTCAACCACTCAAGATCCGAAATAATAAAAAATGGAACAGCCGTTATTGTGCTTAATTTCGGCGTAAGTTATGCATCCATCCTTGAGTAAACATCCCCATGATAATCTGTTTAAAGTTTTAATTATTTTTTACAAGTATATAACAGATAAAAAAAAAAATTTGTAAACTGTGATTTATATTAACAATAAATACAAAGTCATTTATAATTTACTTTAAAATTTACATTTATTGACAATTAAAATTTTACATGAGCAATACAATATATTTTAAGCTGTAATTTAATTGCAAATGGTGTTTAGACATTATAATAGCTATTATACACAATTCAAATCTATTTTCTTTTCTTACACATAGAATTACATTTCTTACACATAGAATTACATACATATGCACTTTAATTCGACAATTTAAAAACATGAATACCACTATTGGAACTAAACATTAGTGTGTTAAGGTTTCTTTAATGAATATTATAGATTTGTATTGCTTTGCGAACGAACTAGTTCATTTGAAAATACTACTGAGACAATACATAGGTTTTAATCTTTCTAGTACGATAGTTCGTTACAGTTATATAAATATTTTTCTCTTTTATATAGCAAATTATATAAAATAAATTAAACTAATATACAAGTTCATTAAATATTAACGAAATATTGAACTAATTCTTTTAACACAAACTAACGGGTTAGTTTTTTTGACATTAGTGAATTAGTTTATTTGACATAAACAAACTTATGAACTAGTTTATTTCACATAAACGAACTAATGAAGTAGTTCATTTGATATAGATGAACTAATGAAAAACCTAATAAACTAGTTCATTTGAAAATACTACTAAAACAATACATAGGTTTAAATTTTTCTGATATAATAATTCATTACAGTTATATAAAACACTTTTCTATTTTATATAATAAATTACATAAATTAAATTAACATAACTCATTAGATATTAACAAAATATTGAACACAAACTCAAAGATTAATTTTTTGACATTAGTGAATTAGCTTATTGGACATAAACGAACTAATGAACTAGTTTATTTCACACAAACGAACTAATGAAGTACTTTATTTGATAAAAATAAACTTATAAAAAAACTTAATAAACTAGTTCATTTGGCACATACGAACTAATGAATTAGTTTATTGCACATAAACGAACTATTAAAGTAGTTTGTTTCACAAAAATAAACTGATTAGTTTTTTGACATTACTGAATTAGCTTATTGAACATAAACGAACAAATGAAGTACTTTATTTGACAAACATAAACTTATAAAAAAACTTAATGACAAAAATAAACTAATTAGTTTTTTGACATTACTGAATTAGCTTATTGAACATAAACGAACTAATGAACAAATTTCACAAAAACGAATTAATGAAGAAGTTAATTTGATATAGATGAACAAATGTAAAACTTAATGAACTAGTTCATTTGACATAAACAAACTAATGAAGAATTTCATTAAACCGAACTAATATGCACAACTCTAGTTAACAGGATTAGTACAACATTTATCATATTTAAGACTAGAAAGTTGTGCTTTAAGCGAACTGAATTTAAATATAGTTTACAAAAAAGTATTTTTACAAATGTTTTAAGCATATCACACATGTATATAATTATATATTTTTTACATTCTTATGCTTTGGCATGTAAAAGTTTATTTAAAATTGTATTAATCTTGTATTAATTTACGTAAATGATTCGATTTATTATACATTGGACACATTTCTAATACTAATTTCACTGAATCTAATACTTATGCAGCGAAGAATTTATATATTTAAATTTTAAAAATATGTAGCAATTATTGAAATTTTATTTGTGATTCTGCACTTTCATTATTAAACTTTTTTCAAATTAATATATTGATGTTGAGATAGATATTATTTAGCTTAATGCTAAGTACAGACAATTTTTAGTTTTGAAAACTTTTAAATACACATTAAAAGTTATTTAAAAAATTATAAATATATTTAATATGAATAAATTAATGTACGTTATAGTTTAAAAATTTCAATTTTAATTTAAAAATCATTTGTATATATTTTATACAATATTAGAATAAAAATAACGCTGTAAATACACGTTATATTATTAATATCTTCGGTTACTTGTAGTTAAAAATTTATTTTATATATTAACAATTTCATAGACAAAAATTATTTATTAATTATAAACATTGAAACACACATAGATTAATACTAAAGTTTTTGTAACCTCTATAAAACATAGACTAAACATACATATATCTATAATTATTTATTTTTTATATTTTTATTATGTTTATATGATTTTATACATATACATATATATATCTTAGATATCTCTTACTGTGGTGTTAATGTTGAAGTAACACTTAGATTATCCAATTGCCCATTGAAGAGAACATCGCTTATTAATTTTTCAGCGATAATACGTTGGGTTGGATTCATAACTCTTAACTTACTGGCCACGTTTATACCGATAGCATCGTATTCATCATCCTTTCATAAAGTAGAAATTAAATGGATATATTAATACTTCTATATATAAATATTCACGTCAAAAAGATTTACAATGACTATATAATATTATAAAAAGTTATAATAGTAAAGTTTAAACAACATAATATTACAAATAAAAGTAACATTGAACTTATAATTATAACTGAAACTCTTGAAGTAAAAACGAACTGAAAAACTTCATTAGTCCAGCGTAAAACATAAACTATGGTCGCGGTGTTCCGCTCCGTTAGAAGCCGGTACCCTGTTTATTTCTATTCTATAGGTTAGTCACTTTAGCACAAATAATATTCCATTGTGATATAATGAAAGAGACACTGTCCATATGCCACATGTAAAAAATTATCTGATTCTACGGACGGAGGAGTCTACGTCCTCGAGCCACCCGTCAAAGACGATCAAGTGCCGTTCAATAACCCCCAAAGGGATCACACAAGCAAACAAACAAGTGCCGTTCAACAACCCGCAAAGAGGGCACATAAGCAAATCCAAGCAGGCTACAACAACAACTACCTTAAACGTAGAAGCTCCAAATAGCTAACGAATGAATAGAGTCTTATTGAGAGAATCCAAACCCCCTATTCAAGTTTAAGAGAACCAACCCAAGTTTATGAAGTCTATGATTTTTTAATATATTTATTAATTTAAATATGTTTATTAATTTAATTAATATATTAATTAATTTTAATTAATTACAAGTCAAGAAGACATAACGGTGCGTTGCAGAACAAGGAGATACGATGTCGTGTTACGAATCAAGGAGAAACGATGAGGCGTTAGTTGTTGATTTTCATATAAAAATTTCGAACTTTAAAGTCTGATATCTTAAAAAGTAAGACATATTGGTATATAGCGGAGGAAATGAAGAAAAATTATTAAGAATGTCTAACTTTATTAAAATCCGTTCACAAATTAGCTCCCCGTGTGGGGAATATCCGAAATCCCATTAAATACTTAATTGAATTAATCCTCTGTCTTAGCATAGACTTCTAAATTGTGCGTTTCTTAAAATTCATTAAATATAATTTAAAAAAAAATATTTAATTGAACTAACGATTATTCAGGTACTCTATAATAAAGAATTGGACACAACAAATAAGAATTAAAATAATTATATTTTAATTAAATATTTAATTTAACTAAAGTGATGCCATAACAAAGGCAATGAAAATTTCTATAACCCAAAGATCTGCACTACTTTAAAATATATATTAAAATATAAACTATATAATATACAAATAATTATTATCAAATTAATTAATTAAAAATTAATGTGTTATAAAAAATAATTCCATTATTTATATGTGTGTAAGTATGAAAATATAAATAAGAATAAATTACCTGTCGGTGAGTTGTAGGTGCAGCGGAGTATGTTGGAAAGATTGTTTGAATGTTCGGTACCTGCTGATGAATTTGTGCGAGTTGCGTTGGTTGGCCAGCTTGTTGTTGTTGCAAATGTTGCTGCATTTGATGTTGTTGTTCGAGTGAACTAACAGCCTAAACATAAAGTATATGGTAAACATACCATACATATATGAGATATTGTTTTCAAACAATTTTTAGTTATATAGCTAACCTGTTGTAATTCGCGCTGTGAGTTGGAGTCCAGAGATGTGATTTCTAAAACTTTAACCGCAGTATGCGGTTGCCCAGGATGTGCTTGCAAGTGTAGTTGTTGTTGCTGCTGCTGTTGGTGTGGATTATGATGTTGGGTATGCTCTTCGCTTTTCACCATCGAAACACATTCATTGGCACTAACTGTAACAGTGGCTGTGGTATCAGCATTATGATTATTTTCTTGTGGAGTAGGTGTATCCAATTGATGTTCTTCTTCAAATTCTAAAGAATCATCATCGTCGAAACTTAATGGCAGAGAACGTTTCATAGGTTTAACATCAATTGAACCAACAAAACGACGTGGATTCTGTTCGGCTATAAATAATAGCTTCTCATAGTACCACAAGCGAGTCTCATAATTATCTTTTGAGTTAGTTTTGCGATATTCACGCCTGAATGCCGAACGTAAGGAATTTATTTTGCGCACCACCATTGCACGGTCTGGGTTTGGTTCGACTTCTCGCAATTTCTCTACCAATTTATCATATGCTTTATTACGCACGCTATGATTACTATAATCCGGATGCTTCGGTTGCCACAAGCACTCTTCACTCTGATAGATTTCTATAAATTCACCAAGCCAATGGCGGGAATACGATCTCAAATCATTTATCTGCTGGGTTACGTTGGACATGTCTGCAACAATACTTTGCGTGGTTGTTATAAAAAGATTTTCTTTTTGTGAGTTTTACGGCGGCGCTTTACTTAGGAAATGTCGTAAGGTTTTTTACACCTTAAATGGTATGCAATGTTTTACTAATTGTATTTTATTAACACATTTTTTTTTCTAAATAAATATTTAATTTAATTTTAATTCGGCGTCTCATTTATTTTTGGTTTTAAAACTATTTAGTTCGTTTGCAAACTCAAACGTCAGACCTCAACAATGCAATACAACCATTTTCTTTTGATGTTGTTGCTTGTTTCTTTTTCGCCTTTATATTCTTATACTACAGTTAGGCGAGAGCAACATATTTGAAAGGTTTCCACTGTGTTTGGACAAGAATTCGAGCTAAATAACAAACACAGGCACGGCAAATGCTCATAAACATGTTGTTAGTTAGCATGTATTGTTTGAGGCTGTGTGGAACGTATTCTCTTGTGCAACAAAGTAACGAGTATTTAGTTATTGCGAGTACATGGTTACAAATTCAGCGATGTGGCAGCTGTCAATATATCTAATGAGATTCTTATATATTTTGTTAAGTTTTTTTTTTAAATCAATTATGTTTAGCCTATCATACATAATTCCATTTGTATGGAACAATATGTACTATTTTCCCTACAGAATTCAAGCAAAAGCCATATGAAAAATGCTGAAAAGATTTGCTAATCCCAAGTGTAAGCGTAATAATAGATATTAACAATTTATATAAAAAGATTATTCAAGAAACTTTTGTTTTTATAATTTATTTGGTTATAGAAGAGAGAGAAGAATTTCAACATTATTAATATTCTTCTGAAATATATTTTAATGATTTAGATACTTAATTTGGTTTAAAGAAAAATTTATTTTTAAATGTTATATATTAAATAAAATTAAAAACAATTTACAATAATCATTCACTTATCACTTAACAAGAATATATGTTTTCTCATAGCAAGTTATGTGATTACAAGCTATTAAAATTTGAGCAAAAACTTATTTAATAAGCTAAAAAAATGGTATTCTGTCTAAGTGAGTGTTTAGAGTCTCCAACTGTCAGCTATTATTTTAATTACAATTACTGTCACTATTAAACTCTTAATAGAAAATAATATAATATAAATATTTTTTATAAGGCTTTCAACAGCAAAGCAAACTATAACCTAACAATTACTTTCCCGATTTTTAATACAGTCTTCAACTGATTCAATATTATCTCTATTTTAATTCACTTATTTGATTGCACTCTGTTTTCAGTGGTATTCATTAACTGAGCTAATGAGATCATATATATTTTTATGCAAACTACTCGCATAATTCATACAATTAGGATTTACATATGTGGCTAACACTTTAACCAGCACAACGCTACCAAAGTACAAACAGCAACTAACTTAATGGTCCAGCGTCCATTAGAATTTAGCGCGTCTTCTCAGAAGCAAGAGAAAAAACAATAATTACATGCAAAATAATAAATGCTCGCAAAATAATAAACATTTAAAAAATTTATTTAAAAGTCTTTTATTTAATAATAAAGTGATAATACAGAAGTACCATATATTTATATATATAATTGTAATCAGAGTTTTCTATAAATAGATTCAATCAATTCAATTATTCCTAAAAGCGGAATTCGTAGTGTTTGACGTAAAAAACGTTAACTGCAAACCGTAGAAAAAGTGACAGAATACACTGCGATTTAACATAAATTCAATTAGATGACTAAATACTTTGCACACAAAAAAATTCAATGCAATTGCTCAATATTTATATCAGCTGTTTTTAGATTTCTCCCGTTTCTACATCAAGAAACAAAAATTCAATTGGTTTTTACGCTTCCGCCTATTTTGACTTTGGCATTTATAATTGTATACATTTTTCTACATAATGTAGAACGAATCAGCTGATTTTTACAATACAATTAATTTTAGACTTCAAGTGGAATGAATTCTATTATTTTACTTTATGCCATTATTCACTGTTGGCAACCCTTAACAGAAAAGTATGAAAAGCAGATCACAACAAATTAGCAAAACAAAATGTAAAACAGAACTAAAAACATATGTAAAGCGAAACGTCAATAAGTAGTTTCATAATTTTTATATTTTGATTCTGTATTTATTTTTTGCTTTAGATTTTGCGATGAAATCTCGTAGTTGCTCATGGCGTAGGAAGTTAAAAGGTTGACGTCGAGAAGTCGAGCGGATTTTTGTTTAATATATTACATACGTTTAAACGGTTAACGTGCTCGTTCCACATTGTCGTTCATACAAACCTTATGGAATAAAGGGAATCAAAATAAAATTGTAATAATACGAAGAAAATACATTGTGAATAATTGTAAATAAGATATTTAATAAAAGTTCAATTAAATTTATATTTTAATTAATTTAAAAAAAATATATATAAATTTGCAATAAAAATATATACGAAATAAACAAAGGAATTTTCTGGTATAATTTTATTTATTAAAATTTATTTAACGGCGACGGTTCAAAGTGTATAAAATCAGTGCCATTGCAAAGCACGGTGAGTGTTCGTTGTGTTCATTATGCAAATTGAATTATTTATGCTAAATTATAATTATATAATTTATGCTTTAAATTATAATCTGTACTAAATTCAATCACTTATGAAATAACGTGAGGCAGCGCAAAAGGCAGAGATGAGCTAATTCTACACATGAACTAGATAAGAAGTTTGGCAAAAATGTGCGAAAATTAGATAAAAAATTTTATTGACCTGCGAAAAAGTGAAATTCTAAAAAAATTTATTTTAATTAAAAATATTGTTAATTTTATCTTTCTTAACGCGAATGATCTAGAAAAAAAATTAAACTTTATTGTAATTGGATTTTTTTTGGAGCTATGCTTAGCAACTGTTTTGAATATGTATAACAACAAATATGTACCCATTCATCCACCTTAACCCATCTGTGCTGATTAAAAAAAAAAAATTAAAAAACTTATTTGTATTAGTTTTTTTTTCTTTTAATTAAAAACATAATATCTCAGTCTGTTGACACTTGTGCGGACTTTATTTGTTGTTATTTTCCATAATGTTTTTACTCGCGCCGCTGATAAGAGAAACCCCAAGTCATTTTTTCCAGTGATAAGCATTAAAAATTATTTAGTTGATTATTTAGTCAGTCAGTCTAACTTTTGATAAAGTTTAGAAAAAAAAAGATTTCTATTTTGCACCGAATAATAAGCCGTGTGAGACTTTAACCCATTGAAGAATTTTTATAAAATTTTTGTGATAAATTTGAAGTTTTTACTTAGGAAAATTATTCCTTTAAAGGCATATAATATTAGTCTTATATATTAAATTGAAAAATACAATTTAATAATGTACGACATATCTTTAGTCATCTGTCTTCAGTTATTAGTGTTAGTTCTTTCTTTATTTCTTAAAGGACATATAATATTAGTCTTATATTAACTTAAAGAATACAATTTAGGCCGTGTGCGAGTTCGAGTAAATTGAGGTAAAGTAAATTGAAATTCTAGAAAAATCCTAGGAATTTTTCGCACTGCATTTATATAAATATTTATTTATTTATTTATTGCACTTATTTATTATTTTTGGTTAAAAGTTTTTAAATTTATTTATTTATTTATGAAACATCTAATAAAATTTTCACAATGGTAACATTTCATTTACTTCATTTTAATCTAATTTACCCTACTCGAAGTTCTAGTAAATATCAACATTCGTTGCCAATCCGACATAATTTATTATTTTTCTCAATTAAGGGTAATAATTTACTCGTACTCGCACACGAGTCTATTTTCCTTAATTTACTCGAACTGGCACACGGCGTTAATAATGTACGACATTTCTTTAGTCAACTGTCGAGTTGAGTATTAAATGTAAAACATGGTATTAAACAAACTTGACTTGTGTAAATTCTATGAAATGCAGAGTGTAAGATCCTTTCATCTTGCCTGTTCGGTCCTACGGGCTAACGCTAACCTCTATCAGACTTCAATTGAAGGAGACTTTCATAAACAAAATGATATTGTCGAGTTTAATAATAGTGTCAATTTATTCCAGTAAGCTTAGAAGACTTTCACTAAGGAAATATAAATAAAGATCGTGGTTTACCGCTGTTTTTTCAACTAATAATATGTAAATATGTAATATGTAAATTATATGCGTAGTGAAAGATCCTTCCAACTTATTTGCTCATTTCTTGCGATTGTTAGCTAACACATCTAGCACCTCTACCAGACTTTAACTGAACCGCTACAGGTTTAAAGTCTTGAACCAAATATATTATCGGGTTAACAATAATATCAATTGGTCCAAGTTAATAGAGTGCCACTAGAAAAAAATCAATAGTTATCAAAGTGGTGTCGTAATGTGCGGCTGTTACTTCTAATAATTAAAACACAAAATTTTATTATTTTAGAAGAGCATATATTGAACTATTGATAAATTACTGAATGTATCAAAAACAAAAAAATAGAATAATAAAAAAATTTTTACTATAAACCTTATGTATTATACAATTTGTAGAGCATACTCATTACGAGAAATGCTCTCTTAATTTAATACAGAGTCCCTTAAACATCAAAAGCACATAAGTCGAAGTCAAAATTTAGGTAAGTTAAGATTCCTAAAATTGTTCAGTAAAATTATGTAAGTAGGGTCTAATAGAATATAGTTCAGGAACTATATACGTACTAACTGTAAATTTGAATTAAGTTTATTATGTTGCATCTTTGATCTTCGACATTGACTAAAATTTCGCCCAGAGAGAACATTTGTGGTTAATTTCGGTAATTAAAAACTATAAATCTAGACGAGAGCTGTCCAAAGCACGACCCACGGACCACATGCGGCCCGTGGATAATGTTTGTACGGCCAGCTACATGTTTTTAAACTACTACAATTACACAAATTTTGTTTTGGTGTACAGATAAAACTATATTATTTGTTGTATTGTATTGGCCCTCAATCGCATCTGGTTTGGACAGTCCTGATCTAAGATAATTGTGAGCCAAAGAAAAAAGAACAAAAAAGTTTTTCATTTCGGTTCTTTTTGATAAGAATTGTGAAATATTTAACTAATAAAGTCAATAAAATGACTTTTCAGGAACCCGAGAAGTAGTTTAATTTATCTGTGATGCTGGACAATAAATTAATAAAGGATTTTTAGGACCACTTTATAAATATATGCAGATGCATTAATATATAAATAACTAGCCTAGTTAGGTGCAGTTTTTTTCTATGTTCCGTATAGTCCTATGGCTTAACTCTGTGATATAAATCAAATTGCAAGTAGATCTTTAATTTAATTATCATATTATAATTGTTCTGAATTTTTTTCTGAGATAGGGTATGTATCTCTGACATAAATCAAATTGTAAGAAAATCTTTATTTATCATTAACTTATAATGTCATACTATCACTTAAAAAAATTTTACTCTCCAATTAAGAACGTTATGTCCAATTCTATATATATATATATATATATATAGATTTACTACTATAATGATAACAATAAGGTTAGCTTAACAAAAAGATTTCAGAGCTCATTTTTTTAATTTATCTTATTATTATTAGTGTAATTACAAGCTATTTTTAGCAAAGCAATTGTAAAAATACAATAAATATTATTCAAAGAGACGCGTAAACATATCAATTTACTATTCTCCGTCGCCATATTACAACGCCTTCCGCACAACCCGTCGTTTTCATGAATAGACCAGAACGATCGACCATTGTTTCCTTAACTCATATGAGTATTTTTTATTTGTCACGTACACAAATGTTTGTATAAAATATGAAATAAATAAAATAATTTGTTATTAAATAAATATAAAAAATTGTATGTAATTTTATTATCCAATTTATTTATTTTACAAATAGTTTTAAATAAATTTAACCAAATGAAATTGTAGTAAATTGTAGAAATTGTAGTAAGAGTAGCTCCTATTTTTTATTTTTATTATTTCAAAACTAATTGTAAATAGTAATTTAAATGATTTAACCGGCAAAATAACATTTGAATAATATAAAATGCAGTCCATTTACTTTAAAATTTTTTTTATATATTTTCCATATTGAAAGCGGTATTATGAACAAGGTCCAAAGTCCACTGCCAGCGCTAAGATACTTGTGCAATTTAGTCAGATAGTTTTCTTGTTGATGCGAGTGGAAATACGAAACTAAAAACAAAAACAAAAACAAATTAATAAAAATATAAAAGATACTTCTATGCAAAGATATTCAAGTATAAAACCTTGACTTGCTATTTGAGTTAGAATAAAAATAAAAACACTACTCATTTAAATACCTGCTGCGTAAAATGACAACAACAAATTGCATAGGTCAAAAATGGAACTTGTTTGTAAGCCGGCACTTTTTCGCATTGAATGACTCTATAGATTATCAGGCATCAGGCAATAACGACCACAAAATGCTCTACATTCATCAATGATATTAAATTAATATGCAATTGTAATGTATATTGTTCATACTATAACGATTCTGTCTAAAATGAGGTGACTACCATATACTATATACCCAATACCATTCATATTATATGAGTACATGCCTTTCTATTCATTTCAAGAACATGGAATTATCATTATCAATAACATTTACTACTCGTATATTAACAATTACGAGTAGTTGTATTTGTTCCTATAAATTTACAATAGATATAATAGGCATATCTATTGTATGCCTATTAAATCTAATACCAATAACAATTTACCCTGACTAATGTAGAGGTAAAGAACCTATTAAATTAAAAGGCCACATTTTATTTTAAAGATAGTGAACATATGGAATCATAGATAAATTTAAAATCAATTAAATACTCAAATTTACTAAGCAAATAGACTTTGAGTGCACCCCTACTATCCTCAGTTTGATAACATGTACATTGTGACCGAAAGGTTTTCGGAAGTTCTCATTTAAAATTCGCGCGCTGTATATTTTTCGATATTTTAAGTTTATGTAGTTTGGCAGCACTGTCCTTAATTACTATGCCAAAAATGAGCGCGATCTGTCAGACAGTTTCGTTTACGGCAGCTGTTGAAACCAGTTCCCCTCAGTAGTGCGTTGCGAAAAAACAATGGAAAAAAATATTGAACAAAGAGTTTGCATCAAATTTTGTGTTTCGAACGAAATTTCGTGTGCAGAATCGTTGCGAATGCTACAAAAGGCTTATGGGTAATCAGTTTTATCGAAAACTCAAGTTTATGAGTGGTACAAAGCCTTTCAGGACGGTCGTACGACCGTCGAAGACATGCCGCGTTCTGGACGACCTTCGGCCTCTACCACCGACGAAAACATTGAAAAGGCAAAGGAAATCGTGTTCCAAAATCCTCATGTGAGTGTTAGAGAGATAGCACGAGAGCTAGGCATCGGTCGTGAGAGCTATCCGCCGTAAACGGCCTCAATTGTGGAAGGATAATTCATGGATTTTTCATGACGATAATGCTCCCTCGCACCGAGCCAACATTATCAACGATTTTAAGGCCAAACATTCAATAAATACCATCAAACAGCCACCGTATTCACCTGATCTTGCACCGTGTGACTTTTTCCTGTTTCCCAAACTCAAATTACCACTCAGAGGAACGCGTTTTGAATCCATAGAAGACGAAAAACAGAATTCGCAGAGGGAACTCAAAGCCATACCGGAAAGCGCCAATAAAAAATGTTTTGATGATTGGAAGAAACGTTGGCATTTGTGTATCGCTTCTAATGGAGCATATTTTGAAGGAGATAAAATAAATATTGATGAAGATTAAGAATTTTGCGTTTGTACATTGTGACCGGAAACTTTTCGGTCACAATGTATTATATAGAATCGTACGTATACCCTACGGTAATACGTAATAAAACAAACACCAATAAAAATTTGATTCACTATTTTTTTAAATTACATAAAATAAATAAAAATAAAATTAAATATTATTTAACTATATAATAAAAAAATATATTAATATTATTTTAATTTAACATTATTTAATTTTACAAACAGATACTAATTAATTTAATAGATTAATTAGTATCTGTCTGTAATGTCATCATCATTCTTAGCATAACAGACTAGTACTTCCTCAAGCACATCTCTCTTCAATAATACTTCGACACACTTCTCTAATCTTGTTTTCTTAGACTACGTATTTTTAAGACGATGAGTACAGCATAACAAACCTTTTTATAGGTCGCTTTCTTCTACTTTCACTAATAGACGCTTCAACAGAAGATTTTATTAAAATACATATTTTATTATATATATTTATAATATAATATAATGATTATAAATAAAATTTGTCATATAAATAAATTTTTTTGTATTTATCGTCGAATTCGTGTTTTCTAGTATTTGTAATTCAAACACGATTTGCCATAATACGAGCACATCAGAATGTTGTTCTGATGTTTCCGTCTCTTTCTTTTTTAACTCTGCTCTCTCTGTGACCCCAATATATTTTGTTTAACTTCTGTGATATTTCTTCTATTTCTATTCCGTAACTATATTATATTTGTTTTATTTTTTGTTGCTATTAAATACGATTTTTATGTTTCACTTTATTAGTGCTATACATTGTGACCGAAAAGTTTCCGGAAAATTTTAAATAAAACGCAAAATTCTTAATCTTCATCAATATTTATTTTATCTCCTTCAAAATATGCTCCATTAGAAGCGATACACAAATGCCAACGTTTCTTCCAATCATCAAAACATTTTTTATAGGCGCTTTCCGGTATGGCTTTGAGTTCCCTCTGCGAATTCTGTTTTACGTCTTCTATGGATTCAAAACGCGTTCCTCTGAGTGGTAATTTGAGGTTGGGAAACAGGAAAAAGTCACACGGTGCAAGATCAGGTGAATACGGTGGCTGTTCGATGGTATTTATTGAATGTTTGGCCTTAAAATCGTTGATAATGTTGAACAAATTGAGGTGAATCGGAACAAGCCGGGCGTTGACACGTCGCATACACAAATTGTCCACCAAAATCAAACGAGCCATCTCACGACCGATGCCTAGCTCTCGTGCTATCTCTCTAACACTCACATGAGGATTTTTGAACACGATTTCCTTTGCCTTTTCAATGTTTTCGTCGGTGGTAGAGGTCGAAGGTCGTCCAGAACGCGGCATGTCTTCGACGGTCGTACGACAGTCCTGAAAGGCTTTGTACCACTCATAAACTTGAGTTTTCGATAAAACTGATTCCCCATAAGCCTTTTGTAGCATTCGCAACGATTCTGCACACGAAATTTCGTTCGAAAAACAAAATTTGATGCAAACTCTTTGTTCAATATTTTTTTCCATTGTTTTTTTCGCAACGCACTACTGAGGTGAACTGGTTTCAACAGCTGCCGTAAACGAACTGTCTGACAGATCGCGCTCATTTTTGGCATAGTAATTAAGGACAGTGCTGCCAAACTACATAAACTTAAAATATCGAAAAATATACAGCGCGCGAATTTTAAATGAGAATTTCCGAAAGCTTTTCGGTCACAATGTAAGTTGGCACTTTAACTTTTGCTTATTTTTCTCCTATCGATTGTGTTTGAAATAAGTTGACTACTTACTGATTGCGTGAGTAGAGTGAAAGTGGTCACTTTGTAATTG